CCCCCTCCCCCAGAAAAAAAATCCTCACGATAAATGTCTGCATATTCAGTCGAATTCACTCAATAGTACGGGGTTAACCTTTGTCGACTTAAACATTTTAATGTCATTTACAGAAAAAGAAAGGTACATAGGCAGTGAGAATAAGAGAGAGAGGGGGGGGGGGGGGGGGCCTGCCTTAGTTGAGTAATGGTACAAAGTTGATTTTTCCTTTCCCCATGCACCCCCGACAGATAACTTACAACGCACAAATACTCCACATAATTATGCAAACAACTCTTGATCGGGCAGCCGATAGGGGGGGGGGGTAGTAAGTAAGTGTCTTCAGGTTTGCTTAAACATTTCGAAATGGCACCTTATCATCAAATGGTGCCCCTGAAACTAGTCAATTGATGATCCAACTTCAGTCTATACAGTGCGTTTTTTGAATTTCAAGGAGAAAATCAAATTTCTAGAAAGTTGAGTTTCTGCCCTTTTATATGACACCTCAATCAGGAAGAATGAGCAAGGAATGACAAAGTTCTGTAGTGCTTGTATTTCCATAATTTTACCAAACGAATTCGTTTTCACTGGGTGCCTGCCGTAGCAACAAACAGAGTTGAAAAAAATACTTAACTCCATTTCGTTGACAATCAGCCGTAGACGAAAGACTTCATGCATGGCTAATTGTCAACGAAACGGAGTTAAGTCTGTTGTCGATTCTGCATGTTGCTACGGCAGGCAGCCAGTGAATACGAATTCGTTTGATAAAAGTATGGAAATGCAAGCACTACTTTAAACAAACAGAACTTTGTCATTCCTTGCTCATTTTTCTTGATTGAGGTGTCATATGAAAGGGCAAAACCTCAACTTTCTGGAAATGTGATTTTCTCTTTAAAATTCAGATACCGTCCACCAAATGACTTTTTGGTTTCCTCTCTTCAAATTCATTTTAACCACTCATGCGTGAAATATGCATCATACGAGTGGCATTAAATGAAAGAAGAGGATCTAAGCTTGCCAAATATGTGTCATTTATTAATTATAAATGTGACTACGTTATGATAAAACAACGATAATTCTCGGTTTCGTTTTTTCTGGGACGCACTGTATGGCCCAAGGAGTCGGGCACTTCCTGGTAACTTTTCCGGTGTCAAGTTGATCTGTACCTTGTGTATGATAACATTGTATTTGAAGAGAGTTGTTGTTGACATACATCTGACCAAGGAGTTATTACATTTGATCTGACATCATGTTCATTGTTCATACGCACCATAAGGCATCATAAGGCTCGTATTAACAAAACACTATACGTTACTTTTCCTTATAACAATGCCTTTCTAAATAAGAGCATGTTCGATGTCTTCAAGTATACCCCCCCAAACAAAAAAAGTAATCTATTTTACACCTCTGTGTATAATTATGATCTAGACCACACAATGTTTAGACGCTATCCCATATTATAAGTACAGAAAACAAAAGAAATTGTGTGCTTCGTGCTTACCTATTTACAACTTTAAATATTTACCTTGGATTTTTGCGTGGATAAAAATATTTTGAATATACGCTTACATTATTGAAATATAATTCCTCTCAGTACAAATGCATATACAAGTTCACGTTTTTATCAACTTTTTGTAATGGACACACACCATGTTGAAGAGAATACAATGTAGTTTCACTGTTCTTTCATGAAATTTCTAATAATGTAGGCTATATTTTAATATATTTTCCATTTATAATTCTCACGAGCAAACAGAACTGAGGATTCATAGATGTCTTCTTAAATATTTTATCCCTTGCCTCTTGTGCTCCAAGGTTGCAAAAGACGCAAAACCATAAAATTGCGATATCGTTTCAAATGCCATGACTGTGAAACGATTTAGAAAATCCGGATTAAGACGGATTCCTTCTATTCTAGACGAAAAACTCAAATTAGCCTATTATTTTTTACCTTTTTAACAATACACGTTGAAACATTTTTATGGTCCAAAGAATGAGTAATAGCATTGTTGATGACAATGCATGATAAAACTAAAATAATAATTAAAGGAGTACCAGTAATTGGTGATACGTAGGAGAGTACATATATATATTTTTTCAAATACAAATTCTGCGTTTCTGATATAAAATTATTATTGTTATATTGTGAATGACGACTTAACGCGTACTCAATAACTCTGCGTAGAAATACAGATTATACTGTTTCGAAAGATAAAGAAATTGTCATTGGATATGGTTATTGAGAAGTGAAATCTAAGCTAAGTCAAAGGATATACGATTAATTCAAAACAGCGTTACATAAATTATGAACAAATATATACTATCATAGCCATGATAGAGCAGACAGCTCGTTACTGATGCTATTTTATGTTCATATCAAAGTAATGAGCAATATTTACAATAATTGTATGAAGATTGTTTACTTGTATTATTATGATACTATTTTCAGAATAATTTATCATGTAAGTGCTTTTGTAAAATTCATTTGTACAATTCAGCCCCCGAGCTTCGATGCATATTACCATTATTATCATAAGACATTATTTATTTTCTAGATTATAAATCGAACATCGTATTTAAGTCATCGATAAGTGCAGCACGATCTTAGAGATTTTCGAGAAAAAAAATCAATATCAATAGCCTTGCGCATCACCGTTAGAACTGAACGAACACTGCAATGACATGTTACATTATTTTAACAAGATTTCTGTAGGCAAACGATAGGCTACTGAAGTTACCCTTTAGTTGATTTCTTGAAAGTCTCTACAAACGTGTTTTAGGTAATACTTTTAGGTTACCAGCAAGCAATCAATGACTGACCTTTAAAGTAAGCAGAGGCTATTCAATTCCTTCTACCTTGCAGAATCGGCATAAAGTAGACAATTGAAATTGTAAAAGATTCATTAGATTACACTTTTTACAGTACAAGGTGTTCTAAAACCCCGTCTTAACCGGAAAATAAAGTCGCGGTGACGTCCAGACGTTGTCCGGATGACATCCTGATAAACGGCCTTTTAAGACGCGCGGAACTCTACCCGGGTAGATGACGTGAGGGCCGTGAAAAAATGTATACATGTACACAGCGCGTGCCAGCTGATCGCAACGAGGCAGGTGCGGTTGTTATGGTAACCTACCCGGGTGAGGTTTTTGCGGATGGCTGGTTATAGGTACTATGTCCCTTTTGCAGCCAATCTCAAATTCTGTAGAACTTTGCAGGAATTATTAATATGTCACGTATGTCCTATATGTGAAATTTGAACGTTAGCAGTGTCCTAATATTCAAATTATGCAAGGAAACCCGTTTACTTGCTAGACTTCACTGTCAGACACTATTGAGTGATTGACTGGCTTTTTTTTCCTTCTTTGGTAATAACATACATAAAATGAGCTGTAAAGGGTACATGAGCATTTGTCTACATCAATAACCCACTTCTTGTGATAGCCAAAATTAAACTGATTAAATATTTGCGCAGCATAAAACGTATGACCATTCGGTACAATGGTCTGAATATCAAGACTATTACTTATTGGCTCTATAGCTCCTATTGAGTCGATTTGACAACTAATAGTCGTTATTTTCCCACTTGAATACATTTTCAAGCCCCACCTTTTTTAGGGAAGTTCTAAATTAGTATTATCTTTCAAATGCCGTTGGAATTTAATCGGTGAGGGGGGGGGGGGGGTGGTAAGAGTACTTTTTTTTTTTTTGGTCTCGAAATTTGATTTTTTTAAATTTTTTTCATTTTTTTATTTAAATATATAATAATAACTAAAGGGGGGGGGGGTTTAACCCCCAACCCCTGTTACACCCACAAATGTAATAACGCTCACAAATGTAATAACACCCACAAATGTAATAACACTTTACCCACAAATGTAATAATTTCACCCACACATGTAATAACCACTTTACCCACAAATGTAATAATTTTGAATCACCCACAAATGTAATAATGACTTTACCCACAAATGTAATAAATTTGAAGTGATATTTTGTCGAATTTGTTCAAAACTAAAACCCTGTACTAAAGCATGGGTAAAGCTAACTACCACCTAGCTAACTACCCCCGGACATCTAACCCCAGTCAACTACCCCCTCCCCGGACATCTACCGCCGGACATCTACCCCCGGACATCTAACCCCATCCAACTACCCCACCCCCTGGACAACTAACTCCCCCTCCAACTACCCCCCCTCCCCCCGGACATCTACCCCCAAGCAAATTAAGGTAGTTGGGGGTAGTTGCCCCGGGGGTAGTTGGATGGGGGTAGATGTCCGGGGGTATTTGACGGGGGGTAGATGTTTGGGGGTAGTTGCCCGGGGATAGGCGTTATTACATTTGTGGGCGTTATTACATTTGTGGGTGTAACAGCCTCCCCCCCCCCCCCTGCGTACGCGCCTGCGTCAGTCTATGTGAGGAGGAAGCTAGGTATTGGCGGTCTACACGTCCTCAGATTGGATTGGAAAACTTTCTGACAAATCTTTCACTCCATCAATATTTATTTGAATAAAAGTATACAAAAATGCATCAAAGGTAACAATGTGGTTTTTTTCTTTTAAATGCTCCTGTTTAGACAGCTGGAGACAAACAGTAATCGAATCATACTTGAACTTGAGTTGTCATCGCAACCATTATGACACAAGTTTGCAAGTGAAAGGGTGACAGTCTACATTTACGTATACACACCTATACCCTTGCCCCTTTCACATTGGATGTCCAGCTAGCCTGTTCTGCGCTATAGCTCAGCTCAGTTTATAAATGAAAATGGTTCCGGAGAAAAACTCACATAATACACAGCCAACTCGTTCTAACCAGGGTCATCCCCCTGTTCTGACTCTTTATAATTCAGTATTATCATCAGTCTCTCGGCGAGGTTATACGAGTGATGCCGAGCTATCCCGAGAGGTTTGCTTGAGTTCACAGGGTTGTGCCATAGCTAGCTCGGGTTCCTCCTTGGCACCAATTCGGCAAAAAGTGGGAGGGGCTTAAGTGGTATAAATACCGAAGCCAATCCGCTCCTCAGACATTCGAAGTCAGCGCGCACTCATCTTCTCATCAAAGATTGCAGATGGTCTTTTACAGAGCTTCACTTCCAAAGTAATGTTTAAAACAACTCTCTTAGCTTCTATCAACTCACTTTTCAAGATGAAGTCGTTCTTTGTAATCACTCTAGTTCTATTTTCATGTCTGTGTCTTGTTGGAGTCACCCAAGCCGTTGCTGTTTCAAAGGAAGGTACGCAAGAGGAAGGTGAGTTTTCCGGGCAGGTTTTATTTATTTTATATATCATTATGCTACTTATCACTGTAAACAAACTTTGATGTCTTGTACACAATTGCCAAAATGGGGTAGATATCCTCTTAAATAACAACATCATTGAGGTTTATTTTGAAAAGTGTTATGGGGATTTTATTTCCCAACCAACGTCATCTTGGCAAGAAATAATAAACTTGATTTAATCGATAACTTTGATCCACAAGAGCATTGTTTGGTGAATCATTTCAAATCTGTCTGTATCAGTTTCGATTGGCTAATCGCAAGTTTCTAGTTTAAGCAAGAGACATAATATTATTGACAATTATAATAAGTTCTTGAACAAAATATATTCTAGTCAGCTGTTTGTATTGTTGATATAGTTGATACTAAGTTACTCATTCTGATTCTACGTAAATGTAAACTTACGTGATCATTATAATTTTCGTTGATACTTTTTCTTCCTTGTTTTATCTGTTATAAGGAATACGGTTGAACTAATAATACATGTATGATAAAGATGATAACATTTACAATATTGTACCAAGTACAAGGTAAACAAGATCTGGGTCAAAATGTTTCCCCAAAATAATCACTTTCTCCCTAAAATGGAAATTATGTTATTACCAGAAATTGTTTTTATTCTCTCGCTCACTCTCTCTCTCTCTCTTTTTTTCTCTCTTGCTCTGTCTCCCTTCACCTAGTCTTGTTCTGCCCCTCTCCTTCTCTTGGTCTCTCTCATCTGCAATACTCTTGTTCTCTCCCTCTCTCTTACACTTTCACCCTCTCCCTCTCATTGTTACCCTTTTACCTCTTCCTCTCTTGATCTGTCTCCTTCTGTCTCTGCCTCTTCCTCTTTCTCTACTCTCTCTCTCCTTTCTCTCTGCATCATCTCAGCTTGTCTCATTTATATGTATAATAACAATTTAATCCGAGAAAATTCAAGGCAATTTCTATCGTTTGGCCATTCACTGCCATGCATACTAATAATCGTTTCTAGATTTAACATCATAGATGTTGGGTTATGGATGGGTACAATGTTAATATCTTACTCATATTTTATATTAAATCAGGACTAAATAAATCACTATGTACATTTTGTAATATTTATAAAAAAAAGTGTTTTGAGCTTTTTTAGTATAAGTAAACAGTTTATTCCTCTATCGAGAACCTGAAGGGGGCGCTGTGCCACTTTCAATTATGGTCATCATTCTAATATCGTCATCATCGTATTCATAAACATAATCGTATTTTGATTATCGGCAACACTTTCATGATCAGTATTCAAAAGAGCATATTTATGCTAGAAATATGGAAGGCATTGATATCAATTGCATCTCTCTCTCTCTCTCTCTCTTGCTCTGTTTCCTTTCTCCTCTCATGTTCTGCCCCTCTCCTTCTCTTGGTCTGTCTCTTCATCTCTCTCTCTCACTTTCTCTCTCTACTCTTTCACCCTCTTTATCTCTGTCTCTTGCCTCCCTCTTACTCTCTTGCTCTGTCTCCGTCTGCTCTACACAATTGAAACTTGACTCATAGATAAACCATAATGGGAATAGTATTTTATAACAAAAGATGAAATTGTGAAAATGCGTTCTTCATTATGTTACACATGAGCATACGTATCACCTAATTCGTCTGAATTACGATTTAAAGTCTAGTTCCAATTATTCTTCCTCGATTTTGTTCGCAGGATATCTCAAGACTGAATAAAGCCATTATCATGAAACTTTCAATGATGACAGATCTTAGTTTAACTTAGAACTGCGTGACTTTTCAAAGACTCAAAGTCATCGTGACGTCATCAAGGCGCCATTTTGTGAAAATCTTCATGACGGAAAAGTATTTCTCATTCATGATTATCACGATTAAGATCAATATCCGTCCGGTCAATTTCAGGTCAATAAACGTGCGCAAATGCGCGCGTGCGCGTTCGTCCGCGCAAAAATTTAAAATGCTCTAAATCATCCCAATTTTTGTTTGCATACGTTTCAGGCCATATGGAGCATTTGACAAAAAATCGCTCTCACGCGCATGCGCGCGCGTTTGTTTGCGCGTTCTAGCATTTTGCAACATAGAATCGCCAAATTTTCTGTGTCATCATATTTGGCATATTTTTCCAAGCATTTTGATGACTTGTTCATCTTTTAATAACGCAATGAGCGTTCGTCAAAGTTGACAGCACGCGCGGATCTGCATTATCTTTATCCACAATGCATGGGCAAAAACATGCCTATACAAAATTCATTTTAACTCTTCAGAATGGATGGGAACTCCCAATATCTCTTCATATTTAGATAGATTATGAGTTGTAAATATGATTTCATGTCTCATTTGACCCTCAATTTACTCATGACGTCATCATAATGGCCTCCGAACTCAAAATTTTAATTTGCATATTATGACGTAAGCATATTTTTAGAAAATTGATTGTATCTCTGTTAATATTGATTTTGTTTCTTTTAAATGTTGATATGTTTTAGCTGAGACAATTTTCTACAAATACAGTTTCCACAATTTTTCATTTTGTCAAAAGCATCATGGCGTATTTTTGCGATTAAAGGTTCATGTCAATTTTTCACATTTTGCGTGTATTTTCTATAGGACATGACTTTTTCTCAAAAGTGGAATCTACAATCCTGTCTTTCGCGAGCAATATCTCCATTGTTTTAGCTTTGTTTTCGCTAAGCTTCGAGCATGTTGTAGCTGAGACAACAAACTATCTCTGAATTGCACTTTGTTGTTCAATCAGATGCCGGGATCATGCTTACCTCGAATAACGAATGAAAACTCAAATGCTCTGAACCCAAATGCAAGAAAGATCAGATATGATGATAAGTATTATAAATTGACAGCAGGCTTTCATTAAACAAAATAACATCCCATATAAACTTTATCCATTTTGTATCACTCAATGAGACGGGATACCATAAACAAGGAATGCGAATGTAGTCAAGATTGTAATCATCATAAGGAAGAGAATATCATGAGGTTTGTTTGTAATATTAAAGCATGTCCTTGAGTTTGAGTCGATAATAAAAGGGAAAGCCGAAGAAAAAGAAAAACGGTCGTATTCTACACCTTTTTCAAGCTTATTGCATGAAAAAACAGCATTTTTTAAGTTTATCACATTGGAAGGTTGCGTTTAGGAGAGCCATTACTTTGAACATCGTATTCCAGACCATAATTGATCGCAAGTTTCGCGAGAATATTGAGGCCCGATTTGATGACGTCGTGGGGTGAAGTAAGTGCAAACCCGGAAGTATCGGTCGTTGGACAGAGCTGATAGATAACTAGCTTACCGGAGTGATTGTCTCGTCGAAATTAACTCGATGAGAGCGAAATGTTGAATTTTTTATTTGTAAATATCCCACGACCCATCTGGTCTGAATAACACAAAGTATGAGATATTTAATTACTTACTACTTTAATTCTCATGTAAATCTTTCTTTTTATCCTTCTGCCATCTTTACTTTCTATCTTTTTTTTTGGTTATTCTTTGTTTTCATATTTCAATTATCTTCTCTTCTTATCTCTCTTCATGTATTTCTTCGTTGTTGTTATTGCATCATTTTCTCTTTATATCTTTACTTATGTTATTCTTTGTTTTTACCCTTCAAGTATCTTCTCTTTCTGTCTTTCCTTATGTATTTCTTTGTTTTCGTCCTTCTATCATCTTCTCTTTCTATATATCTTTCTATATTTCTGTGTTTTTCTCATGTTATCTTAATATGATTTTCCTTTATGTTATTCTTCAGTTTCAACTTCTTTCATCTTCTCTCCCCATCAGAATACGATTTTCAAAGTAGCCATTATCCTAAACACAACCTTCTAAAGTGATAAACTAGACGCTGTTGTGTTTTTCATGCACTAAGCTTGAAGAGGGTGTACATTTAATAATAGTACATTTATAATAATAGTACATTTATAAAGCGCAGAAACTATCCAACATTAGGTATATATTCTACTGCGCTACAAGAGCTCCTGATATGCTTAGATTTACGGTACAGTTAATTAAAAAGAAGTGTTTTCAGTTTTGACTTAAAGACGTTTACAGATGGTGATTTCCTGACTTCAAATGGCAAGTTATTCCAGAGTTTTGGGGCTGCACAAGCAAATGCTCGATCACCTAGCGTTATTTTTGTTTTGATAGATGGGATCTGTAGCAACAAAGTATCTCGGGAACTGCGCAAGTTGCGATTGTGTTGATTAGGTTTAAAATTCAACAGTTCTTTGATATAAGTGGGAGCTTGACCAAGAAGTGCTTTATATACAATCAGCAAGATTTTGAATGTTATTCTCTGGCGTACTGGTAACCAATGTAGATTTCTCAAAATTGGGGTGATCCATGTGAATTTAGAACAACCACAGATCAGCCTTGCACAGGTGTTTTGAACCCGTTGCAATCTCACTATTTGACAGTCAGGGATCCCATACAGTAGACCATTACAATAGTCCAGCTTATTGGTAATACATGCATGTACAATGTCTTTCGTAATGTCCTTATCTAAATATTTACGAATACGTCTGAGATTATAGATCATGTAGTATGCTGATTTACAGACATTTGTGATGTGCTCTCTCATATTCAAATTCGAGTCGAACTGTACTCCAAGATTTCTTGCACTAACAGATGGTTCTATTACAGAGTCTCCAATTGATACACTGTTCAAGTTGATTTTGGATGTCTGTTTAGGTGTGCCAATGATAATTAATTCAGTTTTACCATCATTAAGCATGAGCCTATTTTGCAACATCCATCCACGTACATAGTCAACACATGTTTCTAGGAGTGAGACACATCGCTCTTTAGCATGTTCATCAGGTCTGAATGATACGTACAGCTGTGTGTCATCTGCATAGCAGTGGCATGATATCTCGGGGAAATTTGTTCGAACATTTGAAATGAGATTAGCAGTGTACAGAGTAAATAACAAAGGACCCAGCCGAGAACCTTGTGGAACTCCGAAAGGCACTGGCAAATCATCAGAGATCACATCGTCTATTTTGACCTTCTGATATCTATTCGCCAAATACGACTCTATCCATTCAAGAACACTACCATCTATACTAAAACAGGTCTTTAAAGTTTCTAATAAGCAAGAATGATCTATGGTGTCGAATGCACTACTTAGATCTAATAACAGTAAAAGAGAGACTTTCTGGGAATCCATAGCCATCAATAGATCACTCTTTATTCTTAGCAGTGCAGTTTCAGTACTATGGAATTGTCTATATGCAGACTGAGTACATGGCAAAAGTGAGTTGTTATTGAGGTGATCCATAATTTGCTGGGTAGCAGCACCCTCAACCAACTTCGATATATATTTCAGATTGCTGATAGGTCTTAAGTTCTTAAAATCTGCGTCAAGACCAGGTTTTTTCAATAAAGGTGTGATGAGGGCATTTTTCCATTGCATGGGAAAATGACCAGTCGAGAGAGAAAGATTAATCAATGATGTGAACACAGGAATTAATATGTCGATACATTGTAGAAGAAGTTTCGTGGGCATAGGATCTAAAGAGCATGACTTCTTACTGAGGTTAAGTATAAGTTTTTCAACTTGGTGCTCAGAAAGAGGTTTGAAATTGCTCAAAACATCGACATCATGGTAAGTTGCTAATGGAGAATAGGTCCTGGGTTCATTCATTGCATCTAATCTAGTTTCAATATTCTTGTGGATTTTCACGACTTTGTCACGAAAATAATCACCTAGGTCATTCACAAACTTATGTTTATCAGTACTACAAGGTATCAGGGGTTGTTTATTAGACATGTTCAATAGAGACTTGACAACATTGAATAACTTGTTTTGATTATCCTTATTTTCCATGATCAGATCTCTGTGATATTTTCCACGAGCTTTGTTCAGAAGTTTCAATGTTGCATTTCGAACAGACTTATAGTTGTCCCAATCACTATCGGCCCTAGTTTTCAACCAGCGCTTTTCAGCCTTTCTCTTTTTCCTTTTTTCTGTCCTGACACAGTCAGTATACCACGGTACTTGGGGACGTAACACTATCTGTTTAGTAACGACAGGGGCATGTTTCTCTAAGATATCACATTTATGTTTGTTCGGTATTGTCCTTTAACAAAATAAAATAGGGACCCAAACCTGAGAGCCTCATGACTTTCCTCTTTGATGTAATATCAACTCTTAGGTTGTTTTTATATTTTGTATGGTTTAATTTGGAACACTTCTTCACATTTTTGCTTTCTTTCATTCATTTGTAAGGTTTTATGGCACTTAACATTTGTTGTATGCAGATACTGTTGTGATCCTCTAGTTTCTAATCATTTATACGGGAAATTTCCTGCCTTCTTTAAGCGTAGCAGATTCCGAGATCACGTGTGAATTAAGACAAACCGCGCCATAGTCGATGATTTTGCATGCATCTCACAGTGGTAAAGGCAAGCTCTGGATGCTGAACATAAAATAAAATGCTCTTGAGGACTTTTAAGTAATACTGTTCTCAAGACATTCTTCAGGACAGTATTTAAAGTACCATAAATGATTATAGACATAATGATCATGGGTATGTAAGACATTTCTCAGAATCCTTAACTGGAAATTAACTTACAGCTTTGCATGTCAATCATTATAGCAAAGAAATGAACATTACAATTAAGTACCAATATGTACCTATAAAAGGAATAAATGTTTAAAGCTACAGTCCCATATACGTCCCGGACCGTCCCGGACCATTCCGGACCCCATCCGGGGTGATCCGGGATTCGGTCCGTGATGACACCGTGTTGGCACCGGGGTGGTCCTGGATGGTCCTGGATGGTCCTGGATGGTCCTGGATGGTCCTGGGCGGTCCGGGAGTCGACCCTGGATGTTTTTGACGGTCAAAAACTGCCGGGGTGGTCCGGGACGGTCCGGGACAAAAGTTTGATCCGGGGTGATCCGTGTAGCCACCGTGCTGGGTCCGGGGTCATCCGTAGTGGCGCCGGGGCGGTCCGTGTTGATCCGTGGCAGTCCGGGAGTGAGTTATTGACCCTGGATCACCCCGGCGGCCCTACGGATGATCCCGGACCCAGCACGGTGGCGACACGGATCACCCTGGATGATCCGGGGCTCTGCCGGGGCGATCCTTGTTGGCACCGGGACGTTCCGGGATGATCTGTGTTGGCACCGGGATGGTCCGGTGTCATCCGTGTTGGCACCGTGTTGGCACCGGGGTGGTCTGGGACGGTCCGTGGCGGCTCCGTGCTGGGTCTGGAATGATCTGTACTGCTGCCGGGGCTATGCCCGGACGGTCCGGGGCGGTCCGTAGTGGTACCGTGTTGGGTCCGGGGAGACGGTCGGCGGTTGCGATTTTTTGAACAAAACATCCCGGACCATCCCGGATCACCCCAGACCATGGTCCGGGATGGTCCGGAGTGGTCCGTGCTCGTCCGTGCTGGTCCGGCTTTATATGGGACTGGGGCTTAATAGACTGACTATTTTGTTAAGTTTAACTCATTACGTTAGGTGAATGATCAAAGTTACTGTTCGAAAGGTATTCTGTTGCGATATAAAAATGTATGTAATTCCATTTGATTCCGTACTTAACTTTCAAATTTTCAAGATAAATTTAAGGAACTTCTTAATACTAGTTCGAATCCCGAATTTTGATAACAAATTAGATAGAAGATTATCATGTTTTTCTTTGATTTTATATCATGTTGATTCTAGCATTAGTGTTTTAAAATCCTCTCATGTATCATAGTTGCTCCTGTCCCCGGAAAGATTGGCATAGAAGATGGTCGCATAGGTAATAGTAGTCTCTCTGCGTCATCTTGCTGGGATATCAATCATTGCGTAGCTCGCTCTAGACTCAATCAGCCAGAAGAGGGCGCTCTAAGAGGAGCCTGGTCAGCTTCAGTGAGTATACAGATTACATCCCACTTTCTTGTCATCCGAGATTGCAAAGCTACATGTACTCTCACTTGCTTTAATGTAGTGCGCAGACTCAATTATTGCTTTCCCATATGTTCATTCGCTTTCCTTTGTGTAAAGTTATAATAGTAATAATAATAATAATACTCAGTTTTTATATAGCGCTTATTAGAATCACTAAGCGCTCCCGAACTTGGATATTATTACCCCGTCTTTAGCTGTGCTGCCATTGCGGCGCTCTAGCATTTCAAAGAATTCATTCCTTCCAGGTACACATTTATTATTATTATTATTATTATTATTATTATTTATTTGGCCAATCGGAAAACATACAATTAGTATAACAATCAGATAATACATAGATATTTCATAATACATTCAAACAGCTTTAGGAAAGTGGAGAGGAGAGAGAGAGAGAGAGAGAGTAAGAAGGATTCAATCTGCTGGTCAGGGATGATAAATGCAATTGAAATTGCTATTACTCGAAAGCATGTCACCCCAACCTGGGTTGAGTGTGGCAAATGTAGATTAATGTCTTTCCAAAGGGCATTAGTGCCGCGGCGGGTCTCGAACCGCGGACCTTATGATCGACAGTCCGGCGACTGAACCACTCGACCACGGCACCTTTAGTATCAAAGTATTGACTTTTTTCAAGTATTGAAAATTAAACCGCTCATAGGCCTAAACATCAGGTAAGATATATCATTGGAAACTCCGAAAATATATTGATGGAACTTCTTGTGCCAATCACAAATTCATTGTGATGCATTGATAGCACCATTTCTCAGCAAAGCTGCCCATTAAGACTCACCTTTGTGTCAGAGATGAAAAACAGTCATGTTTCATAATTGTTTGTGATGAAAATGAAATAACCACCTCATCCATTAGATAGGATTTGTTACCTGTCATTACCTGTCATATAATGCGCCGTGTTATACTTGACCTGCTTATATTCATAAGATTAGTTGTTCCGATTGGTAGAGTCCATCCATTCACTCATTGTGATTCACTAATTTTCACAGCGGAACGATGTGAACCAGTGGATACAAGTTGACCTCAGTGCTAACTTTGAGGTCACCGGAGTCATCACACAAGGCAGGAATTACAGCTATGAAGATTGGGTCACGTCCTTTCAAATATCTTACAGCATCGATGGCCAAGACTGGACCATGGTGGAAGACTATGAGGAAGGACCAAAGGTGAGACAGTTTAAAACAGCATCCAGGGCCCAACAATAATGATTTAAGTTACTGTAATTTCCTCTGAGAAAACAAAGAGGAAGAGAGAGAGGGAGAGAGAGCGAGAGAACAATAATGAAAGGAAGAGAGAGAGAGACAGAGTAAATAAGAGAAAGGAAGACAAACGGAGGGATACAAAGTAGAAAGTTAGAGAGGGGAAATAAGGAGCTGCAAACACGTGTACATTTATATTTTTTAGTCAACTAAGGAACGAGAATCACTGGATGAAGCAATCTGCATAAAGACATACAATACACAAACTACAAATCACAGCTATCTGGTATAGCCCTACTCTCATGTCACATTATGCAAGTTCCGCTCAAAGAATTTAATTTAGAAAAATATATTACATATATATGGCAAGATCAACAGTACATAATATGTCTCTCATCTGGAAGAGCCGAGGCCTATCTCTCAGTCTGAAGGTTCGTCTGCTTCAAGCAACTTCTTTCTCTATTGCGACTTAGGGAAGCGAGTCCTGGGCCATGACAAAGAATGACAGAAAGAGAGTTGATGCCTTTGAAATGTGTGCTACAGGAGGCTGTTGCAGGTGTCATGGAAAGATAAAAAGACAAATGTGTGGGTCCTTGAAAAGATTGGAACAGACTTGACCATCAGAAGAGGAATCATGGAAAGAAAACTTAACTATTTTGGGCACATTGTTAGGAGATCTGAAGGTGTTGAGAAGCAAATACTGCAAGGAGCAGTCGAAGGAAAACGGGGTAGAGTTCGTCCACTAATATCTTGGACTGATAATATCAAGAAAGTGTCTGGACAAGGAATGAAAGGTAAAACACAAAAGGCAGGTGAAACAGTTGCACGGCGTGCTCTCGTGAAGACCAGAGCAGCGCCTTACAGCGCCACCTGAAGTTGATGATGATGATATTATAAAGAGTTGGGATTGATATCAAATTACAATCTTTCAATTCAAATCAATTATTCCTACTATCAAAGTGTGAAACCCTTTGGAAAGTTGTATATTGTCAGAATGTTTATTTCGGTAACCGTACTGATTTGATTTGTACATTACAGATCTTTCCTGGTAATTCTGATCGAGATAGCCTAGTTGAAAATGGAATCAGCCCACCTTTGACAGCTAGGTTCATCCGTCTCCATCCTGTAACTTGGCACAGGCACATCAGCTTGAGATGGGAACTCATTGGACAGGGTCCTGTTACATGTAAGCTCAAGAGAATTTTATTAACATTTCCATATACTAAGTCTAATAATAATAATTATACATAAAGCGCAGATACTTTGCATATAATATTCGTCTATGCTACAAGAGCTCGTGATTTGATTAATATTTAAAATTCTACAACATAACGTTAGGTGACAAGATGTGCTTTTGGTTTTGACTTAAAAGCACATTCGATTGTGATTTCCTAAACTCTAATGGTAAGTTATTCCACAATTTTGGGCAAGCGGTAATATTAATAAATTGACAGCAGGCTCTCATTAAAAGAAATAACATCCCATATAAACTTTATCCATTTTGTATCACTCAATGAGACGGGATACCATGAACAAGGAATGCGAATGTAGTCAAGATTGTAATCATCATAAGGAAGAGAATATCATGAGGTTTGTTTGTAATATTAAAGCATGTCCTTGAGTTTGAGTCGATAATAAAAGGGAAAGCCGAAGAAAAAGTAAAATCGTATTCTACACCTTTTTCAAGCTTATTGCATGAAAAAACAGCATTTTTTTAGATTATCACATTGGAAGGTTGCGTTTAGGAGAGCCATTACTTTGAACATCGTATTCCAGACCATAATTGATCGCAGGTTTCGCGAGAATATTGAGGCCCGATTTGATGACGTCGTGGGGTGAAGTAAGTGCAAACCCGGAAGTATCGGTCGTTGGACAGAGCTAATAGATAACTAGCTTACCGGAGTGATTGTCTCGTCGAAATTAACTCGATGAGAGCGAAATGATGAATGCTTTGACTGTAAATCCCACGACCCATCTGGTCTGAATAATACAAAGTATGAGATATTTAATTACTAATTACTTTAATTCTCATGTAAATCTTTCTTTTTATCCTTCTGCCATCTTTACTTTCTATCTTTTTTTAGGTTATTCTTTGTTTTCATATTTCAATTATCTTCTCTTCTTATCTCTCTTCATGTATTTCTTCGTTGTTGTTATTGCATCATTTTCTCTTTATATCTTTACTTATGTTATTCTTTGTTTTTACCCTTCAAGTATCTTCTCTTTCTGTCTTTCCTTATGCATTTCTTTGTTTTCGTCCTTCTATCATCTTCTCTTTCTATATATCTTTCTATATTTCTGTGTTTTTCTCAAGTTATCTTGTGATCTTCCTTTATGTTATTCTTCAGTTTCAACTTCTTTCATCTTCTCTCCCCATCAGAATACGATTTTCAAAGTAGCCATTAACCTAAACAAGACCTTCTAAAGTGATAAACTAAACGCTTTTGTGTTTTTCATGCACTAAGCTTGAAAAAGGTGTACATTTATGTTTGTTCGGTATTGTCCTTTAACAAAATAAATTAGGGACCCAAACCTGAGAGCCTCATGACTTTCCTCTTTGATGTAATATCAACTCTTAGGTTGTTTTTTATATTTTGTATGGTTTAATTTGGAACACTTCTTCACATTTTTGCTTTCTTTCATTCATTTGTAAGGTTTTATGGCACTTAACATTTGTTGTATGCAGATACTGTTGCGATCCTCTAGTTTCTAATCATTTATACGGGAAATTTCCTGCCTTCTTTAAGCGTAGCAGATTCCGAGATCACGTGTGAATTAAGACAAACCGAGCCATAATCGATGATTTTGCATGCATCTCACAGTGGTAAAGGCAAGCTCTGGATGCTGAACATAAAATAAAATGCTCTTGAGGACTATTAAGTAATACTGTTCTCAAGACATTCTTCAGGACAGTATTTAAAGTACCATAAATGATTATAGACATAATGATCATGGGTTTGTAAGACATTTCTCAGAATCCTTAACTGGAAATTAACTTACAGCTTTGCATGTCAATCATTATAGCAAAGAAATGAACATTACAATTAAGTACCAATATGTACCTATAAAAGGAATAAATGTTTAATAGACTGACTATTTTGTTAAGTTTAACTCATTACGTTAGGTGAATGATCAAACTTACTGTTCGAAAGGTATTCAATTGCGATATAAAAATGTATGTAATTCCATTTGATTCCGTACTTAACTTTCAAATTTTGCAAGATAAATTTAAGGAACTTCTTAATACTAGTTCGAATCCCGAATTTTGATAACAAATAATATAGAAGATTATCATGTTTTTCTTTGATTTTATATCATGTTGATTCTAGCATTGGTGTTTTAAAATCCTCTCATGTATCATAGTTGCTCCTGTCCCCGGAAAGATTGGCATAGAAGATGGTCGCATAGGTACTAGTAGTCTCTCTGCGTCATCTTGCTGGGATATCAATCATTGCGTAGCTCGCTCTAGACTCAATCAGCCAGAAGAGGGCGCTCTAAGAGGAGCCTGGTCAGCTTCAGTGAGTATACAGATTACATCCCACTTTCTTGTCATCCGAGATTGCAAAGCTACATGTACTCTCACTGGCTTTAATGTAGTGCGCAGACTCAATTATTGCTTTCCCATATGTTCATTCGCTTTCCTTTGTGTAAAGTTATAATAATAATAATTTTAATAATCAGTTTTTATATAGCGCTTATTAGAATCACTAAGCGCTCCCGAACTTGGATATTATTACCCCGTCTTTAGCTGTGCTGCCATTGCGGCGCTCTAGCATTTCAAAGAATTAATTTCTGCCAGGTACACATTTATTATTATTATTATTATTATTATTATTATTTATTTGACCAATCGGAAAACATACAATTAGTATAACAATCAGATAATACATAGATATTTCATAATACATTCAAACAGCTTTAGGAAAGTGGAGTGGAGAGGGAGAGAGAGAAGGATTTAATCTGCTGGTTAGGGATGACAAATGCAATTGAAATTGCTATTACTCGAAAGCATGTCACCCCCACCTGGGTTGAGTGTGGCAAATGTAGATTAATGTCTTTCCAAAGGGCATTAGTGCCGCGGCGGGTCTCGAACCGCGGACCTTGTGATCGACAGTCCGGCGACTGAACCACTCGACCACGGCACCTTTAGTATCAAAGTATTGACTATTTTCAAGTATTGAAAATTAAACCGCTCATAGGCCTAAACATCAGGTATGATATATCATTGGAAACTCCGAAAATATATTGATGGAACTTCTTGTGCCAATCACAAATTCATTGTGATGCATTGATAACACCATTTCTCAGCAAAGCTGCCCTTTAAGACTCACCTTTGTGTCAGAGATGAAAAACAGTCATGTTTCATAATTGTTTGTGATGAAAATGAAATAACCACCTCATCCATTAGATAGGATTTGTTACCTGTCATTACCTGTCATATAATGCGCCTTGTTATACTTGACCTGCTTATATTCATAAGATTAGTTGGTCCGATTGGTAGAGTCCATCCATTCACTCATTGTGATTCACTAATTTTCACAGTGGAACGATGTGAACCAGTGGATACAAGTTGACCTCAGTGCTACCTTTGAGGTCACCGGAGTCATCACACAAGGCAGGAATTACAGCTATGAAGATTGGGTCACGTCCTATCAAATATCTTACAGCATCGATGGCCAAGACTGGACCATGGTGGAAGACTATGAGGAAGGACCAAAGGTGAGACAGTTTAAAACACCATCCAGGGCCCACAATAATGATTTAAGTTACTGTAATTTCCCCGGAGAAAAAAGAGGAAGAGAGAGAGGGGAGAGAGAGAGAGAGAGAGAGAGGGGGGGATAGAGAGAGAGAGAGAGAGAGAGAGAGAACAATAATGAAAGGAAGATAGAGACAGAGTAAATAAGAGAAAGGAAGACAAACGGAGGGATACAAAGTAGAAAGTTAGAGAGGGGAAATAAGGAGCTGCAAACACGTGTACATTTATATTTTTTAGTCAACTAAGGAACGAGAATCACTGGATGAAGCAATCTGCATAAAGACATACAATACACAAACTACAAATCACAGCTATCTGGTATAGCCCTACTCTCATGTCACATTATGCAAGTTCCGCTCAAATTATTTAATTTAGAAAAATATATTACATATATATGGCAAGACATTATGTCTCTCATCTGGAAGAGCCGAGGCCTATCTCTCAGTCTGAAGGTTCGTCTGCTTCAAGCAACTTCTTTTTCTATTGCGACTTAGGGAAGTGAGTCCTGGGCCATGACAAAGAATGACAGAAAGAGAGTTGATGCCTTTGAAATGTGGTGCTACAGGAAGCTGTTGCAGGTGTCATGGAAAGATAAAAAGACAAATGTGTGGGTCCTTGAAAAGATTGGAACAGACTTGACCATCAGAAGAGGAATCATGGAAAGAAAACTTAACTATTTTGGGCACATTGTTAGGAGATCTGAAGGTGTTGAGAAGCAAATAATGCAAGGAGCAGTCGAAGGGAAACGGGGTAGAGTTCGTCCACTAATATCTTGGACTGATAATATCAAGAAAGTGTCTGGACAAGGAATGAAAGGTGCAACACAAATGGCAGGTGAAACAGTTGCACGGCGTGCTCTCGTGAAGACCACAGCAGCGCTTTACAGCGCCACCTGAAGTTGATGATAATGATATTATAAAGAGTTGGGATTGATATCAAATTACAATCTTTCAATTCAAATCGATTATTCCTACTATCAAAGTGTGAAACCCTTTGGAAAGTTGTATATTGTCAGAATGGTTATTTCGGTAACCGTACTGATTTGATTTGTGCATTACAGATCTTTCCTGGTAATTCTGATCGAGATAGCCTAGTTGAAAATGGAATCAGCCCACCTGTGACAGCTAGGTTCATCCGTCTCCACCCTGTAACTTGGCACAGGCACATCAGCTTGAGATGGGAACTCATTGGACAGGGTCCTGTTACATGTAAGCTCAAGAGAATTTTATTAACATTTCCATATACTAAGTCTAATAATAATAATTATACATAAAGCGCAGATACTTTGCATATAATATTCGTCTATGCTACAAGAGCTCGTGATTTGATTAATATTTACAATTCTACAACATAACGTTAGGTGACAAGACGTGCTTTTGGTTTTGACTTAAAAGCACATTCGATTGTGATTTCCTAAACTCTAATGGTAAGTTATTCCACAATTTTGGGCAAGCGGTAATATTAATAAATTGACAGCAGGCTCTCATTAAAAGAAATAACATCCCATATAAACTTTATCCATTTTGTATCACTCAATGAGACGGGATACCATGAACAAGGAATGCGAATGTAGTCAAGATTGTAATCATCATAAGGAAGAGAATATCATGAGGTTTGTTTGTAATATTAAAGCATGTCCTTGAGTTTGAGTCGATAATAAAAGGGAAAGCCGAAGAAAAAGTAAAATCGTATTCTACACCTTTTTCAAGCTTATTGCATGAAAAAACAACATTTTTTTAGTTTATCACATTGGAAGGTTGCGTTTAGGAGAGCCATTACTTTGAACATCATATTCCAGACCATAATTGATCGCAGGTTTCGCGAGAATATTGAGGCCCGATTTGATGACGTCGTGGGGTGAAGTAAGTGCAAACCCGGAAGTATCGGTCGTTGGACAGAGCTGATAGATAACTAGCTTACCGGAGTGATTGTCTCGTCGAAATTAACTCGATGAGAGCGAAATGATGAATGCTTTGACTGTAAATCCCACGACCCATCTGGTCTGAATAACACAAAGTATGAGATATTTAATTACTAATTACTTTAATTCTCATGTAAATCTTTGTTTTTATCCTTCTGCCATCTTTACTTTCTATCTTTTTTTAGTTTATTCTTTGTTTTCATATTTCAATTATCTTCTCTTCTTATCTCTCCTCATGTATTTCTTCGTTGTTTTTATTGCATCATTTTCTCTTTATATCTTTACTTATGTTATTCTTTGTTTTTACCCTTCAAGTATCTTCTCTTTCTGTCTTTCCTTATGTATTTCTTTGTTTTCGTCCTTCTATCATCTTCTCTTTCTATATATCTTTCTATATTTCTGTGTTTTTCTCATGTTATCTTAATATGATCTTCCTTTATGTTATTCTTCAGTTTAAACTTCTTTCATCTTCTCTCCCCATCAGAATACGATTTTCAAAGTAGCCATTATCCTAAACACAACCTTCTAAAGTGATAAACTAAACGCTGTTGTGTTTTTCATGCACTAAGCTTGAAAAGGGTGTACATTTATGTTTGTTCGGTATTGTCCTTTAACAAAATAAAATAGGGACCCAAACCTGAGAGCCTCATGACTTTCCTCTTTGATGTAATATCAACTCTTAGGTTGTTTTTATATTTTGTATGGTTTAATTTGGAACACTTCTTCACATTTTTGCTTTCTTTCATTCATTTGTAAGGTTTTATGGCACTTAACATTTGTTGTATGCAGATACTGTTGTGATCCTCTAGTTGCTAATCATTTATACGGGAAATTTCCTGCCTTCTTTAAGCGTAGCAGATTCCGAGATCACGTGTGAATTAGAACAAACCGAGCCATAATCGATGATTTTGCATGCATCTCACAGTGGTAAAGGCAAGCTCTGGATGCTGAACATAAAATAAAATGCTCTTGAGGACTTTTAAGTAATACTGTTCTCAAGACATTCTTCAGGACAGTATTTAAAGTACCATAAATGATTATAGACATAATGATCATGGGTTTGTAAGACATTTCTCAGAATCCTTAACTGGAAATTAACTTACAGCTTTGCATGTCAATCATTATAGCAAAGAAATGAACATTACAATTAAGTACCAATATGTACCTATAAAAGGAATAAATGTTTAATAGACTGACTATTTTGTTAAGTTTCACTCATTACGTTAGGTGAATGATCAAACTTACTGTTCGAAAGGTATTCAGTTGCGATATAAAAATGTATGTAATTCCATTTGATTCCGTACTTAACTTTCAAATTTTGCAAGATAAATTTAAGGAACTTCTTAATACTAGTTCGAATCCCGAATTTTGATAACAAATAATATAGAAGATTATTATGTTTTTCTTTGATTTTATATCATGTTGATTCTAGCATTGGTGTTTTAAAATCCTCTCATGTATCATAGTTGCTCCTGTCCCCGGAAAGATTGGCATAGAAGATGGTCGCATAGGTACTAGTAGTCTCTCTGCGTCATCTTGCTGGGATATCAATCATTGCGTAGCTCGCTCTAGACTCAATCAGCCAGAAGAGGGCGCTCTAAGAGGAGCCTGGTCAGCTTCAGTGAGTATACAGATTACATCCCACTTTCTTGTCATCCGAGATTGCAAAGCTACATGTACTCTCACTGGCTTTAATGTAGTGCGCAGACTCAATTATTGCTTTCCCATATGTTCATTCGCTTTCCTTTGTGTAAAGTTATAATAATAATAATTATAATAATCAGTTTTTATATAGCGCTTATTAGAATCACTAAGCGCTCCCGAACTTGGATATTATTACCCCGTCTTTAGCTGTGCTGCCATTGCGGCGCTCTAGCATTTCAAAGAATTAATTTCTGCCAGGTACACATTTATTTTTATTATTATTATTATTATTATTATTTATTTGACCAATCGGAAAACATACAATGAGTATAACAATCAGATAATACATAGATATTTCATAATACATTCAAACAGCTTTAGGAAAGTGGAGAGGAGAGAGAGAGAGAGAGAGTAAGAAGGATTCAATCTGCTGGTCAGGGATGATAAATGCAATTGAAATTGCTATTACTCGAAAGCATGTCACCCCAACCTGGGTTGAGTGTGGCAAATGTAGATTAATGTCTTTCCAAAGGGCATTAGTGCCGCGGCGGGTCTCGAACCGCGGACCTTGTGATCGACAGTCCGGCGACTGAACCACTCGACCACGGCACCTTTAGTATCAAAGTATTGACTTTTTTCAAGTATTGAAAATTAAACCGCTCATAGGCCTAAACATCAGGTAAGATATATCATTGGAAACTCCGAAAATATATTGATGGAACTTCTTGTGCCAATCACAAATTCATTGTGATGCATTGATAGCACCATTTCTCAGCAAAGCTGCCCATTAAGACTCACCTTTGTGTCAGAGATGAAAAACAGTCATGTTTCATAATTGTTTGTGATGAAAATGAAATAACCACCTCATCCATTAGATAGGATTTGTTACCTGTCATTACCTGTCATATAATGCGCCGTGTTATACTTGACCTGCTTATATTCATAAGATTAGTTGGTCCGATTGGTAGAGTCCATCCATTCACTCATTGTGATTCACTAATTTTCACAGCGGAACGATGTGAACCAGTGGATACAAGTTGACCTCAGTGCTAACTTTGAGGTCACCGGAGTCATCACACAAGGCAGGAATTACAGCTATGAAGATTGGGTCACGTCCTTTCAAATATCTTACAGCATCGATGGCCAAGACTGGACCATGGTGGAAGACTATGAGGAAGGACCAAAGGTGAGACAGTTTAAAACAGCATCCAGGGCCCAACAATAATGATTTAAGTTACTGTAATTTCCTCTGAGAAAAAAAAGAGGAAGAGAGAGAGGGAGAGAGAGCGAGAGAACAATAATGAAAGGAAGAGAGAGAGAGACAGAGTAAATAAGAGAAAGGAAGACAAACGGAGGGATACAAAGTAGAAAGTTAGAGAGGGGAAATAAGGAGCTGCAAACACGTGTACATTTATATTTTTTAGTCAACTAAGGAACGAGAATCACTGGATGAAGCAATCTGCATAAAGACATACAATACACAAACTACAAATCACAGCTATCTGGTATAGCCCTACTCTCATGTCACATTATGCAAGTTCCGCTCAAGGAATTTAATTTAGAAAAATATATTACATATATATGGCAAGATCAACAGTACATAATATGTCTCTCATCTGGAAGAGCCGAGGCCTATCTCTCAGTCTGAAGGTTCGTCTGCTTCAAGCAACTTCTTTCTCTATTGCGACTTAGGGAAGCGAGTCCTGGGCCATGACAAAGAATGACAGAAAGAGAGTTGATGCCTTTGAAATGTGTGCTACAGGAGGCTGTTGCAGGTGTCATGGAAAGATAAAAAGACAAATGTGTGGGTCCTTGAAAAGATTGGAACAGACTTGACCATCAGAAGAGGAATCATGGAAAGAAAACTTAACTATTTTGGGCACATTGTTAGGAGATCTGAAGGTGTTGAGAAGCAAATACTGCAAGGAGCAGTCGAAGGAAAACGGGGTAGAGTTCGTCCACTAATATCTTGGACTGATAATATTAAGAAAGTGTCTGGACAAGGAATGAAAGGTAAAACACAAAAGGCAGGTGAAACAGTTGCACGGCGTGCTCTCGTGAAGACCAGAGCAGCGCCTTACAGCGCCACCTGAAGTTGATGATGATGATATTATAAAGAGTTGGGATTGATATCAAATTACAATCTTTCAATTCAAATTAATTATTCCTACTATTTATTTTTTATTTATTTATTCGGTTTAAAAACATCAACACGTAAAGTTCAGGAACTCATAATGGTTGATTTACAATGAAATTGAATAGTATAAACAAAATTGAACCAACAAATATACACTTAAGAAGAACATATTATTTCACACACATAAAAATGTGATTGCAATACAATATACAACGGCTGGCTAGATGTGGCTAGACCAAGGCGAGATATGACAAGGAAATCGAAAAGAAGATAAATGACAAAAGAGAGAGAGAGAGAGAGAGAGAGAAAGAGAGAAGAAGAAGTGGTGAGAGAGCAAGAGAGGGACAAGAAAGGGGAGGGTAGAAAGAAAAAGAGAGAAGGTAGGGGGAAAGAGAGGGGGAGGGGAGATACGGAGGGGAAGTGAGGGAGAGAGAAGGAAGAGAGAGGAAGAGAGAGGGAGAGAGAGGAAGGTAGAAAGAGAGAGAAGAGAGACAGGGAGAGAGTGAGGTATAGAAAGAGAGAGCGAGAGAGAGGAGAGAGGAGAGAGAAGAGAGAGAAAAGAGGGGGAGAGAGAAGGGGATAGAAGAGAGAGAGAGAGGGAGGAGAGAAAAGGAGAGACATGGAGAGGGAGAGAGAGAGAGGGGAGAGATCTTTAAAAGGCAAAATAAGAAACAAGGTAGATAAACGTAGCATTAAAACATTAATACATTTCTTATACACATCTACACAGGAGAAGGCGCACCGGAGCGTTCTGAGAAGACAACAATGGATTGGCCTGCAACGCATCGTCGCGTCCGCTCCGAAGGCCACGGTGCGCCTGCACATGATGGTCAACATTTCAGCATTTTCAAGAAATTTAGAGTAGCTAAAATGTACAGGCAATTTGGCAGTAAATAGCAAAATATAATCAACACGCTTCCCGACAATGTTGTGCAAAACATGTAAAGCTAATTGTTAAAGAGTTGGCACCTCTATTAATTAATGGCAAAACCCCCATTTCTTCAATATTCTGGATCAGAAAAATACAGCTATAATAAAGTATTGCACCTTGTAATGGTTCTAAAGAGTCACAACATGTGAAGCTAATTGCTAAGTTGACACCTCTATTAATGGAAAACCCGCATACCTTCAAATTATTTAACAAATCAGAAAATACGGCTATAATAAAGTATTGCACTTTGTACATGTATCAGGTCTAAAGATTCACAACATGTGAAGCTAATTGTCAGGAGAAGTTGACACCTCTATTAATGGGAAAAACCCGCAAATCTTCAATATTATGAATCATGTATTAGAAAATACAGCTTTAATGAAGTATTGCACGTTGTTTCCGATCTAAAGAGTACCGGTACATGAAATACAATTCAATTTTTTGGAATTCACATTAGGTTATTGAGAGTCTTAATGACTTGGGGTAGAGGAGACTTTTTATAGCGTTGGGTACGACACATCGGTTCTAGAAACCCATCCTTCGATCTTAGGGGACGATAATTAGGTAGGGTGCTTCGGAGAGGTGGGAGCATCGAACTGTGCCTAGAGCTTATGATGGACTTAGCAAACTTCTCAAATAATTGTTTTCGACGATGCTCAAGTGATATGATGTTAAGAAACTCGAGAGCATTTGCGTAGTCTGTGTAATTGTGGTAGCCAATGATAATTCTACACGCACGTTTTTGTATGCGCTCAATTTTGTTAGATTGCTGTACTGTGAGAGCTGGAGACCACACAGGGGAGGCATACTCCAGTAGTGGCCTGATATACATCAGGTAGACCGATACCAAGTCGCCGACAGGGGCTTTGTACTTTTTGAGTATACATAGCATATATAGTCGTTTAGCAGCTACACTGGTCATATGAGAAGTTTGCATGTCCCATTTCATGTCAGCTTGTACAATAACGCCCAATAGTTTGAGAGTATCTACACATTCAAGGGTGGTTGCACCAAGGTGAAAGTTCGGAAATACAGTAGGTCTTTTCAGGAATGAAACATTCATTATCTTACATTTCTCCGGTTTAGGGGTCATGCTATTATCAGTAGACCAAGTAGAGAGATTGTTGATTACTGATTGGATGTTAGAAGGTTGGGAATGTTTCCTAACTTCTGCAATTGTGAGATCATCTACATATTTCCATCTTAGTTGTGTATCAGAGGCAGCATCATTAATCATGACTAAGAAAAGGACCGGGCCAAGGCTACTGCCTTGGGGGGCTCCACATGTCACATTAGAGAAATTAGAGACAATAGGACCGATACGAACACAGTGTGATCTACATTCAAGGTAACTACAAATGACTGGAATAAGTGATAGGTCTACACCAAGTTGGATAAGTTTCCTAACAACAACATTGTGATCAATATGATCGAAAGCTTTGGCATAATCAATGGCACATAGTGATGCAACATGGCCAGGCTTATCAGTTCCTTTTAAGATAGTGTCCACAAGACTCACAAGGTAGTGAGTGGTCGATGAGTTCCTAATATTTCCATACTGTTGACTGTCTAACTTGTGACTGATGTCGCGGGTAATCCAACTTGAAAGGAAGGTTTCAAAGATCTTAGCAAAGATAGGTGTTAGAGAAATGGGTCGTAATTGGTCGAAAGACTGACATGGTTTCACCTTGGGAATGGGCACTATGTTGGATAGCTTCCACTGGTCGGGGAAAACGCCGGATTGTAGGCACTCATTAAATATACGAGCAAGAGGATCAGCTAGTTCAGGTGCAAATTCTCGGATGAGTCTTGCCGGAAGGTCATCCTTGTACGAAGCCTTAGAGGGGTTGATATTCCTAAGCTTCTGATAGACCTGGTGAGCTTCAATTACAGGAGGTGGTCGCGGGGCAGGAAGAAATGCTGGCAGTGCATTGCGATCAAGAGGAGGTAGTGCCGAGCAGATTGAAGCGAAATGGTTGTTGATGTTTTCAGCTTGATCTGCAGGGGCCAAGTCACTTTCGGGTAAGGTAGGTCTAGTCTTCTTGAGACCTGCGAGGTGACGAATCTCCTGGTGCCATTTTCCCGGTTGCTGTTTCTTAAGATTCTTGACTTTTCGGGAGTAGAAATTTTGCTTGCACTTAGCAATCTCTCTTCGAACTGTATCTCGTAGGGTTTTGTACAATGGGATATTACCTAGCAGATAAGCTTTCTGACGTTGTGAGATGATCGTAAGAACTCGGTTGGTGATCCAGGGCTTATCATCAGAGCGACGTTTAATGCAGGTTGGTGGGAAGATCTGGAGGTAGCGAGCTCGAAGTGATGAAGCAAAGGACTCTACCATTTCAACAGCATCACGACATTCGTTGAGACAAGTCCAGTTCTCTGATGTGAGCCACTGGCCGAAGGTACGGATGTTGGAGTCCCTCATAGGCCGAATTGTCGTCTTACGTGGCGCAGAATTAAGAATTACATTAATAGGGTCGATGATGATGGTTCGATGGTCACTAGTTGAGATGGGGCTGGTTACAACAGGTTCCTTGTATAAATCAGAGGAGTCAGTGAAGACTTTATCTAAGATGTTATGACCTCTGGTGGGCTTCGAGACGATTTGTTGGAACCCTAGTTCGTCAAGAAGAGGAGCAGTGTTAAGGTCGTTGAAGTCACCTAAAATCATGAACTTCGCATCGGGATGTTGTGACTTTAAATGATCAACCATAAACTGCAGGCTGTCAATAATTTCATCTTTCAACGGAGACTGGGGAGGGTAGTACACAGCACATAAAAACAGAATACGAGTTTTACTGAGAACCAGCTTTAACCATAGTAACTCTAGATGGTTGGGAACAAGGTGTGATTCGATAGGTGTGGCCTTGAAGTCGGAGCTTACGTAGATGGCGACTCCACCACCTTGACGGTCATTACGATCTTTGCGATACATGTCAAAACCAGAGATTGATAATGCACTTGATGGAATGTTGTCGTTTAGCCAAGTTTCAGTTATAACGGCTACTTGCGTCTTATTAACTCTCATAGTTGCCATAAGATCGCTGTGTTTAGAGTTCAGGGATCTTAAATTGGCTAGAAGTATGGCTGGCAATTTGTTATTGAGTTTGTCATAATCCTCCCTCTGAACGGGCACCAAGTTATACAAGTTTGATTTTGTATTGTGGCAAGAAACTTGTTTTCTACAGGAACTTATAAGCACGGGAATAGAACTTTCATTCTTTTGAGTACGTACATACTTTTCATGTGGACACAAGCGTACCTTGTCATTGCCAGTCCTTTTCCGAATATGCTGACCACCTCTCCTGCTTCTCATGTGACTTATACCTAATTCCTTAATGCGAGTATAAGTATCTTGCGAAAAATGATCCGTCCCATAGCTATGGCGAAGAGAGTACAAGGCTTGCCTAGTATAGCACACACGAGATCTATTGCTACTTGACTTCACAGCACAAGACATTGACAGAGTGCGTTCATCCATGGTCACTCTATTCATCCAGGATCTCAGAGTAGGTTCATCAATTGATGGTGATATTAGCATAACAATGCCAGCCTTCTCAGCTACATGCACTGTACTAAGACAGTGTATCAAGTACAGCATGCAGATAATCCAAACTTGAGCAGAAAACATACTGATTTTACTCCAAAGCAGAATTGTCAAATGATGTGAAGATTGGCAAGTAGCTTGACAACAACTAGTAAAAACACATGACACTGTCTCTGAATGAAATATTACTCTGGATACAACGTTATCAGCAAATAATTGTGGAGGTGTGGCAGCAGCACAACAGCGCCCATTTTCATGTACATTCCCCTGAATCACAATATGCCCTACTATCAAAGTGTGAAACCCTTTGGAAAGTTGTATATTGTCAGAATGTTTATTTCGGTAACCGTACTGATTTGATTTGTACATTACAGATCTTTCCTGGTAATTCTGATCGAGATAGCCTAGTTGAAAATGGAATCAGCCCACCTTTGACAGCTAGGTTCATCCGTCTCCATCCTGTAACTTGGCACAGGCACATCAGCTTGAGATGGGAACTCATTGGACAGGGTCCTGTTACATGTAAGCTCAAGAGAATTTTATTAACATTTCCATATACTAAGTCTAATAATAATAATTATACATAAAGCGCAGATACTTTGCATATAATATTCGTCTATGCTACAAGAGCTCGTGATTTGATTAATATTTACAATTCTACAACATAACGTTAGGTGACAAGATGTGCTTTTGGTTTTGACTTAAAAGCACATTCGATTGTGATTTCCTAAACTCTAATGGTAAGTTATTCCACAATTTTGGGCAAGCGGTAATATTAATAAATTGACAGCAGGCTCTCATTAAAAGAAATAACATCCCATATAAACTTTATCCATTTTGTATCACTCAATGAGACGGGATACCATGAACAAGGAATGCGAATGTAGTCAAGATTGTAATCATCATAAGGAAGAGAATATCATGAGGTTTGTTTGTAATATTAAAGCATGTCCTTGAGTTTGAGTCGATAATAAAAGGGAAAGCCGAAGAAAAAGTAAAATCGTATTCTACACCTTTTTCAAGCTTATTGCATGAAAAAACAGCATTTTTTTAGATTATCACATTGGAAGGTTGCGTTTAGGAGAGCCATTACTTTGAACATCGTATTCCAGACCATAATTGATCGCAGGTTTCGCGAGAATATTGAGGCCCTATTTGATGACGTCGTGGGGTGAAGTAAGTGCAAACCCGGAAGTATCGGTCGTTGGACAGAGCTAATAGATAACTAGCTTACCGGAGTGATTGTCTCGTCGAAATTAACTCGATGAGAGCGAAATGATGAATGCTTTGACTGTAAATCCCACGACCCATCTGGTCTGAATAACACAAAGTATGAGATATTTAATTACTAATTACTTTAATTCTCATGTAAATCTTTGTTTTTATCCTTCTGACTTTCTATCTTTTTTTAGTTTATTCTTTGTTTTCATATTTCAATTATCTTCTCTTCTTATCTCTCCTCATGTATTTCTTCGTTGTTTTTATTGCATCATTTTCTCTTTATATCTTTTCTTATGTTATTCTTTGTTTTTACCCTTCAAGTATCTTCTCTTTCTGTCTTTCCTTATGTAATTCTTTGTTTTTGTCCTTCTATCATCTTCTCTTTCTATATATCTTTCTATATTTCTGTGTTTTTCTCATGTTATCTTAATATGATCTTCCTTTATGTAATTCTTCAGTTTCTACTTCTTTCATCTTCTCTCCCCATCAGAATACGATTTTCAAAGTAGCCATTATCCTAAACACAACCTTCTAAAGTGATAAACTAGACGCTGTTGTGTTTTTCATGCACTAAGCTTGAAAAGGGTGTGCATTTATGTTTGTTCGATATTGTCCTTTAACAAAATAAATTAGGGACCCAAACCTGAGAGCCTCATGACTTTCCTCTTTGATGTAATATCAACTCTTAGGTTGTTTTTATATTTTGTATGGTTTAATTTGGAACACTTCTTCACATTTTTGCTTTCTTTCATTCATTTGTAAGGTTTTATGGCACTTAACATTTGTTGTATGCAGATACTGTTGCGATCCTCTAGTTTCTAATCATTTATACGGGAAATTTCCTGCCTTCTTTAAGCGTAGCAGATTCCGAGATCACGTGTGAATTAAGACAAACCGAGCCATAATCGATGATTTTGCATGCATCTCACAGTGGTAAAGGCAAGCTCTGGATGCTGAACATAAAATAAAATGCTCTTGAGGACTTTTAAGTAATACTGTTCTCAAGACATTCTTCAGGACAGTATTTAAAGTACCATAAATGATTATAGACATAATGATCATGGGTTTGTAAGACATTTCTCAGAATCCTTAACTGGAAATTAACTTACAGCTTTGCATGTCAATCATTATAGCAAAGAAATGAACATTACAATTAAGTACCAATATGTACCTATAAAAGGAATAAATGTTTAATAGACTGACTATTTTGTTAAGTTTAACTCATTACGTTAGGTGAATGATCAAACTTACTGTTCGAAAGGTATTCAGTTGCGATATAAAAATGTATGTAATTCCATTTGATTCCGTACTTAACTTTCAAATTTTGCAAGATAAATTTAAGGAACTTCTTAATACTAGTTCGAATCCCGAATTTTGATAACAAATAATATAGAAGATTATCATGTTTTTCTTTGATTTTATATCATGTTGATTCTAGCATTGGTGTTTTAAAATCCTCTCATGTATCATAGTTGCTCCTGTCCCCGGAAAGATTGGCATAGAAGATGGTCGCATAGGTACTAGTAGTCTCTCTGCGTCATCTTGCTGGGATATCAATCATTGCGTAGCTCGCTCTAGACTCAATCAGCCAGAAGAGGGCGCTCTAAGAGGAGCCTGGTCAGCTTCAGTGAGTATACAGATTACATCCCACTTTCTTGTCATCCGAGATTGCAAAGCTACATGTACTCTCACTGGCTTTAATGTAGTGCGCAGACTCAATTATTGCTTTCCCATATGTTCATTCGCTTTCCTTTGTGTAAAGTTATAATAATAATAATTATAATAATCAGTTTTTATATAGCGCTTATTAGAATCACTAAGCGCTCCCGAACTTGGATATTATTACCCCGTCTTTAGCTGTGCTGCCATTGCGGCGCTCTAGCATTTCAAAGAATTAATTTCTGCCAGGTACACATTTATTATTATTATTATTATTATTATTATTATTTATTTGACCAATCGGAAAACATACAATTAGTATAACAATCAGATAATACATAGATATTTCATAATACATGGAGAGGGAGAGAGAGAAGGATTTAATCTGCTGGTTAGGGATGACAAATGCAATTGAAATTGCTATTACTCGAAAGCATGTCACCCCCACCTGGGTTGAGTGTGGCAAATGTAGATTAATGTCTTTCCAAAGGGCATTAGTGCCGCGGCGGGTCTCGAACCGCGGACCTTGTGATCGACAGTCCGGCGACTGAACCACTCGACCACGGCACCTCTAGTATTGAAGTATTGACTATTTTCAAGTATTGAAAATTAAACCGCTCATAAGCATAAACATCAGGTAAGATATATCATTGGAAACTCCGAAAATATATTGATGGAACTTCTTGCGCCAATCACAAATTCATTGTGATGCATTGATAGCACCATTTCTCAGCAAAGCTGCCCATTAAGACTCACCTTTGTGTCAGAGATGAAAAACAGTCATGTTTCATAATTGTTTGTGATGAAAATGAAATAACCACCTCATCCATTAGATAGGATTTGTTACCTGTCATTACCTGTCATATAATGCGCCTTGTTATACTTGACCTGCTTATATTCATAAGATCAGTTGGTCCGATTGGTAGAGTCCATCCATTCACTCATTGTAATTCACTAATTTTCACAGCGGAACGATGTGAACCAGTGGATACAAGTTGACCTCAGTGCTACTTTTGAGGTCACCGGAGTCATCACACAAGGCAGGAATTACAGCTATGAAGATTGGGTCACGTCCTATCAAATATCTTACAGCATCGATGGCCAAGACTGGACCATGGTGGAAGACTATGAGGAAGGACCAAAGGTGAGACAGTTTAAAAGAGCATCCAGGGCCCAACAATAATGATTTAAGTTACTGTAATTTCCTCTGAGAAAAAAGAGGAAGAGAGAGAGGGAGAGAGAGAGAGAGAACAATAATGAAAGGAAGAGAGAGAGAGAGAGACAGAGTAAATAAAAGAAAGGAAGACAAACGGAGGGATACAAAGTAGAAAGTTAGAGAGGGGAAATAAGGAGCTGCAAACACGTGTACATTTATATTTTTTAGTCAACTAAGGAACGAGAATCACTGGATGAAGCAATCTGCATAAAGACATACCATACACAAACTACAAATCACAGCTATCTGGTATAGCCCTACTCTCATGTCACATTATGCAAGTTCCGCTCAAAGAATTTAATTTAGAAAAATATATTACATATATATATGGCAAGATCAACAGTACATAATATGTCTCTCATCTGGAAGAGCCGAGGCCTATCTCTCAGTCTGAAGGTTCGTCTGCTTCAAGCAACTTCTTTCTCTATTGCGACTTAGGGAAGCGAGTCCTGGGCCATGACAAAGAATGACAGAAAGAGAGTTGATGCCTTTGAAATGTGTGCTACAGGAGGCTGTTGCAGGTGTCATGGAAAGATAAAAAGACAAATGTGTGGGTCCTTGAAAAGATTGGAACAGACTTGACCATCAGAAGAGGAATCATGGAAAGAAAACTTAACTATTTTGGAAACATTGTTAGGAGATCTGAAGGTGTTGAGAAGCAAATACTGCAAGGAGCAGTCGAAGGAAAACGGGGTAGAGTTCGTCCACTAATATCTTGGACTGATAATATTAAGAAAGTGTCTGGACAAGGAATGAAAGGTAAAACACAAAAGGCAGGTGAAACAGTTGCACGGCGTGCTCTCGTGAAGACCAGAGCAGCGCCTTACAGCGCCACCTGAAGTTGATGATGATGATATTATAAAGAGTTGGGATTGATATCAAATTACAATCTTTCAATTCAAATCAATTATTCCTACTATCAAAGTGTGAAACCCTTTGGAAAGTTGTATATTGTCAGAATGTTTATTTCGGTAACCGTACTGATTTGATTTGTACATTACAGATCTTTCCTGGTAATTCTGATCGAGATAGCCTAGTTGAAAATGGAATCAGCCCACCTGTGACAGCTAGGTTCATCCGTCTCCATCCTGTAACTTGGCACAGGCACATCAGCTTGAGATGGGAACTCATTGGACAGGGTCCTGTTACATGTAAGCTCAAGAGAATTTTATTAACATTTCCATATACTAAGTCTAATAATAATAATTATACATAAAGCGCAGATACTTTGCATATAATATTCGACTATGCTACAAGAGCTCGTGATTTGATTAATATTTACAATTCTACAACATAACGTGACAAGATGTGCTTTTGGTTTTGACTTAAAAGCACATTCGATTGTGATTTCCTAAACTCTAATGGTAAGTTATTCCACAATTTTGGGCAAGTGGTAATATTAATAAATTGACAGCAGGCTCTCATTAAAAGAAATAACATCCTATATAAACTTTATCCATTTTGTATCACTCAATGAGACGGGATACCATGAACAAGGAATGCGAATGTAGTCAAGATTGTAATCATCATAAGGAAGAGAATATCATGAGGTTTGTTTGTAATATTAAAGCATGTCCTTGAGTTTGAGTCGATAATAAAAGGGAAAGCCGAAGAAAAAGAAAAACGGTCGTATTCTACACCTTTTTCAAGCTTATTGCATGACAAAACAGCATTTTTTTAGTTTATCACATTAGAAGGTTGCGTTTAGGAGAGCCATTACTTTGAACATCGTATTCCAGACCATAATTGATCGCAAGTTTCGCGAGAATATTGAGGCCCGATTTGATGACGTCGTGGGGTGAAGTAAGTGCAAACCCGGAAGTATCGGTCGTTGGACAGAGCTTATAGATAACTAGCTTACCGGAGTGATTGTCTCGTCGAAATTAACTCGATGAGAGCGAAATGATGAATGCTTTGACTGTAAATCCCACGACCCATCTGGTCTGAATAACACAAATGATGTGTTATTTTATTACTTACTACTTTAATTCTCATGTAAATCTTTGTTTTTATTCTTCTGCCATCTTTACTTTCTATCTTTTTTTAGGTCATTCTTTGTTTTCATATTTCAATTATCTTCTCTTCTTATCTCTCCTCATGTATTTCTTCGTTTTTGTTATTGCATCATTTTCTCTTTATATCTTTACTTATGTTATTTTTTGTTTTTACCGTTCAAGTATCTTCTCTTTCTGTCTTTCTTTATGTATTTGTTTGTTTTCGTCCTTCTATCATCTTCTCTTTCTATATATCTTTCTATATTTCTGTGTTTTTCTCATGTTATCTTATGATCTTTCTTTATGTTATTCTTCAGTTTCAACTTCTTTCATCTTCTCTCCCCATCAGAATACGATTTTCAAAGTAGCCATTATCCTAAACACAACCTTCTAAAGTGATAAATTAAACGCTGTTGTGTTTTTCATGCACTAAGCTTGAAAAGGGTGTATATTTATGCTTGTTCGGTATTGTCCTTTAACAACAACAACATAGGGACCCAAACCTGAGAGCCTCATGACTTTTCTCTTTGATGTAATCTCAAGTCTTAGGTTGTTTTTATATTTTGTACGGTTTAATTTGGAACACTTCTTCACATTTTTGCTTTCTTTCATTCATTGATAAGGTTTTATGGCACTTAACATTTGTTGTATGCAGATACTGTTGTGATCCTCTAGTTGCTAATCATTTATACGGGAAATTTCCTGCCTTCTTTAAGCGTAGCAGTTTCCGACATCACGTGTGAATAAGACAAACCGCGCCATAATCGATGATTTTGCATGCATCTCACAGTGGTAAAGGCAAGCTCTGGATGCTGAACATAAAATAAAATGCTCTTGAGGACTTTTAAGTAATACTGTTCTCAAGACATTCTTCAGGACAGTATTTAAAGTACCATAAATGATTATAGACATAATGATCATGGGTTTGTAAGACATTTCTCAGAATCCTTAACTGGAAATTAACTTACAGCTTTGCATGTCAATCATTATAGCAAAGAAATGAACATTACAATTAAGTACCAATATGTACCTATATAAAAGGAATGAATGTTTAATAGACTGACTATTTTGTTAAGTTTAAGTCATTACGTTAGGTGAATGATCAAACTTACTGTTCGAAAGGTATTCTGTTGCGATATAAAAATGTATGTAATTCCATTTGATTCCGTACTTAACTTTCAAATTTTGCAACATAAATTTAAGGAACTTCTTAATACCAGTTCGAATCCCGAATTTTGATAAGAAATTAGATAGAAGATTATCATGTTTTTCTTTGATTTTATATCATGTTGATTCTAGCATTGGTGTTTTAAAATCCTCTCATGTATCATAGTTGCTCCTGTCCACGGAAAGATTGGCATAGAAGATGGTCGCATAGGTACTAGTAGTCTCTCTGCGTCATCTTGCTGGGATATCAATCATTGCGTAGCTCGCTCTAGACTCAATCAGCCAGAAGAGGGCGCTCTAAGAGGAGCCTGGTCGGCTTCAGTGAGTATACAGATTACATCCCACTTTCTTGTCATCCGAGATTGCAAAGCTACATGTACTCTCACTGGCTTTAATGTAGTGCGCAGACTCAATAATATCATTGGAAACTCCGAAAATATATTGATGGAACCTCTTGTGCCAATCACAAATTCATTGTGATGCATTGATAGCACCATTTCTCAGCAAAGCTGCCCAATTAAGACTCATTTTTGTGTCAGAGATGAAAAACAGTCATGTTTCATAATTGTTTGTGATGAAAATGAGTAACCACCTCATCCATTAGATAGGATTCGTTACCTGTCATTACCTGTCATATAATGCGCCTTGTTATACTTGACCTGCTTATATTCATAAGATCAGTTGGTCCGATTGGTAGAGTCCATCCATTCACTCATTGTGATTCACTAATTTTCACAGTGGAACGATGTGAACCAGTGGATACAAGTTGACCTCAATGCTAACTTTGAGGTCACCGGAGTCATCACACAAGGCAGGAATTACAGCTATGAAGATTGGGTCACGTCCTATCAAATATCTTACAGCATCGATGGCCAAGACTGGACCATGGTGGAAGACTATGAGGAAGGACCAAAGGTGAGACAGTTTAAAACAGCATCCAGGGCCCAACAATAATGATTTAAGTTACTGTAATTTCCTCTGAGAAAAAAGAGGAAGAGAGAGAGGGAGAGAGAGAGAGAGAACAATAATGAAAGGAAGAGAGAGAGAGAGAGACAGAGTAAATAAAAGAAAGGAAGACAAACGGAGGGATACAAAGTAGAAAGTTAGAGAGGGGAAATAAGGAGCTGCAAACACGTGTACATTTATATTTTTTAGTCAACTAAGGAACGAGAATCACTGGATGAAGCAATCTGCATAAAGACATACAATACACAAACTACAAATCACAGCTATCTGGTATAGCCCTACTCTCATGTCACATTATGCAAGTTCCGCTCAAAGAATTTAATTTAGAAAAATATATTACATATATATGGCAAGATCAACAGTACATAATATGTCTCTCATCTGGAAGAGCCGAGGCCTATCTCTCAGTCTGAAGGTTCGTCTGCTTCAAGCAACTTCTTTCTCTATTGCGACTTAGGGAAGCGAGTCCTGGGCCATGACAAAGAATGACAGAAAGAGAGTTGATGCCTGTGCTACAGGAGGCTGTTGCAGGTGTCATGGAAAGATAAAAAGACAAATGTGTGGGTCCTTGAAAAGATTGGAACAGACTTGACCATCAGAAGAGGAATCATGGAAAGAAAACTTAACTATTTTGGGCACATTGTTAGGAGATCTGAAGGTGTTGAGAAGCAAATACTGCAAGGAGCAGTCGAAGGAAAACGGGGTAGAGTTCGTCCACTAATATCTTGGACTGATAATATTAAGAAAGTGTCTGGACAAGGAATGAAAGGTAAAACACAAAAGGCAGGTGAAACAGTTGCACGGCGTGCTCTCGTGAAGACCAGAGCAGCGCCTTACAGCGCCACCTGAAGTTGATGATGATGATATTATAAAGAGTTGGGATTGATATCAAATTACAATCTTTCAATTCAAATCAATTATTCCTACTATCAAAGTGTGAAACCCTTTGGAAAGTTGTATATTGTCAGAATGTTTATTTCGGTAACCGTACTGATTTGATTTGTACATTACAGATCTTTCCTGGTAATTCTGATCGAGATAGCCTAGTTGAAAATGGAATCAGCCCACCTGTGACAGCTAGGTTCATCCGTCTCCATCCTGTAACTTGGCACAGGCACATCAGCTTGAGATGGGAACTCATTGGACAGGGTCCTGTTACATGTAAGCTCAAGAGAATTTTATTAACATTTCCATATACTAAGTCTAATAATAATAATTATACATAAAGCGCAGATACTTTGCATATAATATTCGACTATGCTACAAGAGCTCGTGATTTGATTAATATTTACAATTCTACAACATAACGTTAGGTGACAAGATGTGCTTTTGGTTTTGACTTAAAAGCACATTCGATTGTGATTTCCTAAACTCTAATGGTAAGTTATTCTACAATTTTGGGCAAGCGGTAATATTAATAAATTGACAGCAGGCTCTCATTAAAAGAAATAACATCCCATATAAACTTTATCCATTTTGTATCACTCAATGAGACGGGATACCATAAACAAGGAATGCGAATGTAGTCAAGATTGTAATCATCATAAGGAAGAGAATATCATGAGGTTTGTTTGTAATATTAAAGCATGTCCTTGAGTTTGAGTCGATAATAAAAGGGAAAGCCGAAGAAAAAGTAAAATCGTATTCTACACCTTTTTCAAGCTTATTGCATGAAAAAACAACATTTTTTTAGTTTATCACATTGGAAGGTTGCGTTTAGGAGAGCCATTACTTTGAACATCGTATTCCAGACCATAATTGATCGCAGGTTTCGCGAGAATATTGAGGCCCGATTTGATGACGTCGTGGGGTGAAGTAAGTGCAAACCCGGAAGTATCGGTCGTTGGACAGAGCTAATAGATAACTAGCTTACCGGAGTGATTGTCTCGTCGAAATTAACTCGATGAGAGCGAAATGATGAATGCTTTGACTGTAAATCCCACGACCCATCTGGTCTGAATAACACAAAGTATGAGATATTTAATTACTAATTACTTTAATTCTCATGTAAATCTTTGTTTTTATCCTTCTGCCATCTTTACTTTCTATCTTTTTTTAGTTTATTCTTTGTTTTCATATTTCAATTATCTTCTCTTCTTATCTCTCCTCATGTATTTCTTCGTTGTTTTTATTGCATCATTTTCTCTTTATATCTTTTCTTATGTTATTCTTTGTTTTTACCCTTCAAGTATCTTCTCTTTCTGTCTTTCCTTATGTAATTCTTTGTTTTTGTCCTTCTATCATCTTCTCTTTCTATATATCTTTCTATATTTCTGTGTTTTTCTCATGTTATCTTAATATGATCTTCCTTTATGTAATTCTTCAGTTTCTACTTCTTTCATCTTCTCTCCCCATCAGAATACGATTTTCAAAGTAGCCATTATCCTAAACACAACCTTCTAAAGTGATAAACTAGACGCTGTTGTGTTTTTCATGCACTAAGCTTGAAAAGGGTGTGCATTTATGTTTGTTCGGTATTGTCCTTTAACAAAATAAATTAGGGACCCAAACCTGAGAGCCTCATGACTTTCCTCTTTGATGTAATATCAACTCTTAGGTTGTTTTTATATTTTGTATGGTTTAATTTGGAACACTTCTTCACATTTTTGCTTTCTTTCATTCATTTGTAAGGTTTTATGGCACTTAACATTTGTTGTATGCAGACACTGTTGCGATCCTCTAGTTTCTAATCATTTATACGGGAAATTTCCTGCCTTCTTTAAGCGTAGCAGATTCCGAGATCACGTGTGAATTAAGACAAACCGAGCCATAATCGATGATTTTGCATGCATCTCACAGTGGTAAAGGCAAGCTCTGGATGCTGAACATAAAATAAAATGCTCTTGAGGACTTTTAAGTAATACTGTTCTCAAGACATTCTTCAGGACAGTATTTAAAGTACCATAAATGATTATAGACATAATGATCATGGGTTTGTAAGACATTTCTCAGAATCCTTAACTGGAAATTAACTTACAGCTTTGCATGTCAATCATTATAGCAAAGAAATGAACATTACAATTAAGTACCAATATGTACCTATAAAAGGAATAAATGTTTAATAGACTGACTATTTTGTTAAGTTTAACTCATTACGTTAGGTGAATGATCAAACTTACTGTTCGAAAGGTATTCAGTTGCGATATAAAAATGTATGTAATTCCATTTGATTCCGTACTTAACTTTCAAATTTTGCAAGATAAATTTAAGGAACTTCTTAATACTAGTTCGAATCCCGAATTTTGATAACAAATAATATAGAAGATTATCATGTTTTTCTTTGATTTTATATCATGTTGATTCTAGCATTGGTGTTTTAAAATCCTCTCATGTATCATAGTTGCTCCTGTCCCCGGAAAGATTGGCATAGAAGATGGTCGCATAGGTACTAGTAGTCTCTCTGCGTCATCTTGCTGGGATATCAATCATTGCGTAGCTCGCTCTAGACTCAATCAGCCAGAAGAGGGCGCTCTAAGAGGAGCCTGGTCAGCTTCAGTGAGTATACAGATTACATCCCACTTTCTTGTCATCCGAGATTGCAAAGCTACATGTACTCTCACTGGCTTTAATGTAGTGCGCAGACTCAATTATTGCTTTCCCATATGTTCATTCGCTTTCCTTTGTGTAAAGTTATAATAATAATAATTATAATAATCAGTTTTTATATAGCGCTTATTAGAATCACTAAGCGCTCCCGAACTTGGATATTATTACCCCGTCTTTAGCTGTGCTGCCATTGCGGCGCTCTAGCATTTCAAAGAATTAATTTCTGCCAGGTACACATTTATTATTATTATTATTATTATTATTATTATTATTTATTTGACCAATCGGAAAACATACAATTAGTATAACAATCAGATAATACATAGATATTTCATAATACATTCAAACAGCTTTAGGAAAGTGGAGTGGAGAGGGAGAGAGAGAAGGATTTAATCTGCTGGTTAGGGATGACAAATGCAATTGAAATTGCTATTACTCGAAAGCATGTCACCCCCACCTGGGTTGAGTGTGGCAAATGTAGATTAATGTCTTTCCAAAGGGCATTAGTGCCGCGGCGGGTCTCGAACCGCGGACCTTGTGATCGACAGTCCGGCGACTGAACCACTCGACCACGGCACCTTTAGTATCAAAGTATTGACTATTTTCAAGTATTGAAAATTAAACCGCTCATAGGCCTAAACATCAGGTAAGATATATCATTGGAAACTCCGAAAATATATTGATGGAACTTCTTGTGCCAATCACAAATTCATTGTGATGCATTGATAACACCATTTCTCAGCAAAGCTGCCCTTTAAGACTCACCTTTGTGTCAGAGATGAAAAACAGTCATGTTTCATAATTGTTTGTGATGAAAATGAAATAACCACCTCATCCATTAGATAGGATTTGTTACCTGTCATTACCTGTCATATAATGCGCCTTGTTATACTTGACCTGCTTATATTCATAAGATTAGTTGGTCCGATTGGTAGAGTCCATCCATTCACTCATTGTGATTCACTAACTTTCACAGCGGAACGATGTGAACCAGTGGATACAAGTTGACCTCAGTGCTAACTTTGAGGTCACCGGAGTCATCACACAAGGCAGGAATTACAGCTATGAAGATTGGGTCACGTCCTTTCAAATATCTTACAGCATCGATGGCCAAGACTGGACCATGGTGGAAGACTATGAGGAAGGACCAAAGGTGAGACAGTTTAAAACAGCATCCAGGGCCCAACAATAATGATTTAAGTTACTGTAATTTCCTCTGAGAAAAAAGAGGAAGAGAGAGAGGGAGAGAGAGAGAGAGAACAATAATGAAAGGAAGAGAGAGAGAGAGAGACAGAGTAAATAAAAGAAAGGAAGACAAACGGAGGGATACAAAGTAGAAAGTTAGAGAGGGGAAATAAGGAGCTGCAAACACGTGTACATTTATATTTTTTAGTCAACTAAGGAACGAGAATCACTGGATGAAGCAATCTGCATAAAGACATACAATACACAAACTACAAATCACAGCTATCTGGTATAGCCCTACTCTCATGTCACATTATGCAAGTTCCGCTCAAAGAATTTAATTTAGAAAAATATATTACATATATATGGCAAGATCAACAGTACATAATATGTCTCTCATCTGGAAGAGCCGAGGCCTATCTCTCAGTCTGAAGGTTCGTCTGCTTCAAGCAACTTCTTTCTCTATTGCGACTTAGGGAAGCGAGTCCTGGGCCATGACAAAGAATGACAGAAAGAGAGTTGATGCCTGTGCTACAGGAGGCTGTTGCAGGTGTCATGGAAAGATAAAAAGACAAATGTGTGGGTCCTTGAAAAGATTGGAACAGACTTGACCATCAGAAGAGGAATCATGGAAAGAAAACTTAACTATTTTGGGCACATTGTTAGGAGATCTGAAGGTGTTGAGAAGCAAATACTGCAAGGAGCAGTCGAAGGAAAACGGGGTAGAGTTCGTCCACTAATATCTTGGACTGATAATATTAAGAAAGTGTCTGGACAAGGAATGAAAGGTAAAACACAAAAGGCAGGTGAAACAGTTGCACGGCGTGCTCTCGTGAAGACCAGAGCAGCGCCTTACAGCGCCACCTGAAGTTGATGATGATGATATTATAAAGAGTTGGGATTGATATCAAATTACAATCTTTCAATTCAAATCAATTATTCCTACTATCAAAGTGTGAAACCCTTTGGAAAGTTGTATATTGTCAGAATGTTTATTTCGGTAACCGTACTGATTTGATTTGTACATTACAGATCTTTCCTGGTAATTCTGATCGAGATAGCCTAGTTGAAAATGGAATCAGCCCACCTGTGACAGCTAGGTTCATCCGTCTCCATCCTGTAACTTGGCACAGGCACATCAGCTTGAGATGGGAACTCATTGGACAGGGTCCTGTTACATGTAAGCTCAAGAGAATTTTATTAACATTTCCATATACTAAGTCTAATAATAATAATTATACATAAAGCGCAGATACTTTGCATATAATATTCGACTATGCTACAAGAGCTCGTGATTTGATTAATATTTACAATTCTACAACATAACGTTAGGTGACAAGATGTGCTTTTGGTTTTGACTTAAAAGCACATTCGATTGTGATTTCCTAAACTCTAATGGTAAGTTATTCTACAATTTTGGGCAAGCGGTAATATTAATAAATTGACAGCAGGCTCTCATTAAAAGAAATAACATCCCATATAAACTTTATCCATTTTGTATCACTCAATGAGACGGGATACCATAAACAAGGAATGCGAATGTAGTCAAGATTGTAATCATCATAAGGAAGAGAATATCATGAGGTTTGTTTGTAATATTAAAGCATGTCCTTGAGTTTGAGTCGATAATAAAAGGGAAAGCCGAAGAAAAAGTAAAATCGTATTCTACACCTTTTTCAAGCTTATTGCATGAAAAAACAGCATTTTTTTAGTTTATCACATTGGAAGGTTGCGTTTAGGAGAGCCATTACTTTGAACATCGTATTCCAGACCATAATTGATCGCAGGTTTCGCGAGAATATTGAGGCCCGATTTGATGACGTCGTGGGGTGAAGTAAGTGCAAACCCGGAAGTATCGGTCGTTGGACAGAGCTGATAGATAACTAGCTTACCGGAGTGATTGTCTCGTCGAAATTAACTCGATGAGAGCGAAATGATGAATGCTTTGACTGTAAATCCCACGACCCATCTGGTCTGAATAACACAAAGTATGAGATATTTAATTACTAATTACTTTAATTCTCATGTAAATCTTTCTTTTTATCCTTCTGCCATCTTTACTTTCTATCTTTTTTTAGGTTATTCTTTGTTTTCATATTTCAATTATCTTCTCTTCTTATCTCTCTTCATGTATTTCTTCGTTGTTGTTATTGCATCATTTTCTCTTTATATCTTTACTTATGTTATTCTTTGTTTTTACCCTTCAAGTATCTTCTCTTTCTGTCTTTCCTTATGTATTTCTTTGTTTTCGTCCTTCTATCATCTTCTCTTTCTATATATCTTTCTATATTTCTGTGTTTTTCTCAAGTTATCTTGTGATCTTCCTTTATGTTATTCTTCGGTTTCAACTTCTTTCATCTTCTCTCCCCATCAGAATACGATTTTCAAAGTAGCCATTAACCTAAACAAGACCTTCTAAAGTGATAAACTAAACGCTTTTGTGTTTTTCATGCACTAAGCTTGAAAAGGGTGTACATTTATGTTTGTTCGGTATTGTCCTTTAACAAAATAAATTAGGGACCCAAACCTGAGAGCCTCATGACTTTCCTCTTTGATGTAATATCAATTCTTAGGTTGTTTTTTATATTTTGTATGGTTTAATTTGGAACACTTCTTCACATTTTTGCTTTCTTTCATTCATTTGTAAGGTTTTATGGCACTTAACATTTGTTGTATGCAGATACTGTTGTGATCCTCTAGTTTCTAATCATTTATACGGGAAATTTCCTGCCTTCTTTAAGCGTAGCAGATTCCGAGATCACGTGTGAATTAAGACAAACCGCGCCGTAGTCGATGATTTTGCATGCATCTCACAGTGGTAAAGGCAAGCTCTGGATGCTGAACATAAAATAAAATGCTCTTGAGGACTTTTAAGTAATACTGTTCTCAAGACATTCTTCAGGACAGTATTTAAAGTACCATAAATGATTAAAGACATAATGATCATGGGTATGTAAGACATTTCTCAGAATCCTTAACTGGAAATTAACTTACAGCTTTGCATGTCAATCATTATAGCAAAGAAATGAACATTACAATTAAGTACCAATATGTACCTCAGTATAAAAGGAATAAATGTTTAATAGACTGACTATTTTGTTAAGTTTAACTCATTACGTTAGGTGAATGATCAAACTTACTGTTCGAAAGGTATTCAGTTGCGATATAAAAATGTATGTAATTCCATTTGATTCCGTACTTAACTTTCAAATTTTGCAAGATAAATTTAAGGAACTTCTTAATACTAGTTCGAATCCCGAATTTTGATAACAAAAGAAGATTATTATGTTTTTCTTTGATTTTATATCATGTTGATTCTAGCAATGGTGTTTTAAAATCCTCTCATGTATCATAGTTGCTCCTGTCCCCGGAAAGATTGGCATAGAAGATGGTCGCATAGGTACTAGTAGTCTCTCTGCGTCATCTTGCTGGGATATCAATCATTGCGTAGCTCGCTCTAGACTCAATCAGCCAGAAGAGGGCGCTCTAAGAGGAGCCTGGTCAGCTTCAGTGAGTATACAGATTACATCCCACTTTCTTGTCATCCGAGATTGCAAAGCTACATGTACTCTCACTGGCTTTAATGTAGTGCGCAGACTCAATTATTGCTTTCCCATATGTTCATTCGCTTTCCTTTGTGTAAAGTTATAATAATAATAATAATAATAATCAGTTTTTATATAGCGCTTATTAGAATCACTAAGCGCTCCCGAACTTGGATATTATTACCCCGTCTTTAGCTGTGCTGCCATTGCGGCGCTCTAGCATTTCAAAGAATTAATTTCTGCCAGGTACACATTTATTATTATTATTATTATTATTATTATTATTTATTTGACCAATCGGAAAACATACAATTAGTATAACAATCAGATAATACATAGATATTTCATAATACATTCAAACAGCTTTAGGAAAGTGGAGTGGAGAGGGAGAGAGAGAAGGATTTAATCTGCTGGTTAGGGATGACAAATGCAATTGAAATTGCTATTACTCGAAAGCATGTCACCCCCACCTGGGTTGAGTGTGGCAAATGTAGATTAATGTCTTTCCAAAGGGCATTAGTGCCGCGGCGGGTCTCGAACCGCGGACCTTGTGATCGACAGTCCGGCGACTGAACCACTCGACCACGGCACCTCTAGTATTGAAGTATTGACTATTTTCAAGTATTGAAAATTAAACCGCTCATAAGCTTAAACATCAGGTAAGATATATCATTGGAAACTCCGAAAATATATTGATGGAACTTCTTGCGCCAATCACAAATTCATTGTGATGCATTGATAGCACCATTTCTCAGCAAAGCTGCCCATTAAGACTCACCTTTGTGTCAGAGATGAAAAACAGTCATGTTTCATAATTGTTTGTGATGAAAATGAAATAACCACCTCATCCATTAGATAGGATTTGTTACCTGTCATTACCTGTCATATAATGCGCCTTGTTATACTTGACCTGCTTATATTCATAAGATCAGTTGGTCCGATTGGTAGAGTCCATCCATTCACTCATTGTGATTCACTAATTTTCACAGCGGAACGATGTGAACCAGTGGATACAAGTTGACCTCAGTGCTACTTTTGAGGTCACCGGAGTCATCACACAAGGCAGGAATTACAGCTATGAAGATTGGGTCACGTCCTATCAAATATCTTACAGCATCGATGGCCAAGACTGGACCATGGTGGAAGACTATGAGGAAGGACCAAAGGTGAGACAGTTTAAAACACCATCCAGGGCCCACAATAATGATTTAAGTTACTGTAATTTCCTCTGGGAAAAAAGAGGAAGAGAGAGAGAGGGGAGAGAGATAGAGAGGGAGAGAGAGAGAGAGAGAGAGAGAACAATAATGAAAGGAAGATAGAGACAGAGTAAATAAGAGAAAGGAAGACAAACGGAGGGATACAAAGTAGAAAGTTAGAGAGGGGAAATAAGGAGCTGCAAACACGTGTACATTTATATTTTTTAGTCAACTAAGGAACGAGAATCACTGGATGAAGCAATCTGCATAAAGACATACAATACACAAACTACAAATCACAGCTATCTGGTATAGCCCTACTCTCATGTCACATTATGCAAGTTCCGCTCAAATGATTTAATTTAGAAAAATATATTACATATATATGGCAAGATCAACAGTACATAATATGTCTCTCATCTGGAAGAGCCGAGGCCTATCTCTCAGTCTGAAGGTTCGTCTGCTTCAAGCAACTTCTTTCTCTATTGCGACTTAGGGAAGTGAGTCCTGGGCCATGACAAAGAATGACAGAAAGAGAGTTGATGCCTTTGAAATGTGGTGCTACAGGAGGCTGTTGCAGGTGTCATGGAAAGATAAAAAGACAAATGTGTGGGTCCTTGAAAAGATTGGAACAGACTTGACCATCAGAAGAGGAATCATGGAAAGAAAACTTAACTATTTTGGGCACATTGTTAGGAGATCTGAAGGTGTTGAGAAGCAAATAATGCAAGGAGCAGTCGAAGGAAAACGGGGTAGAGTTCGTCCACTAATATCTTGGACTGATAATATCAAGAAAGTGTCTGGACAAGGAATGAAAGGTGCAACACAAATGGCAGGTGAAACAGTTGCACGGCGTGCTCTCGTGAAGACCACAGCAGCGCTTTACAGCGCCACCTGAAGTTGATGATAATGATATTATAAAGAGTTGGGATTGATATCAAATTACAATCTTTCAATTTAAATCGATTATTCCTACTATCAAAGTGTGAAACCCTTTGGAAAGTTGTATATTGTCAGAATGTTTATTTCGGTAACCGTACTGATTTGATTTGTGCATTACAGATCTTTCCTGGTAATTCTGATCGAGATAGCCTAGTTGAAAATGGAATCAGCCCACCTGTGACAGCTAGGTTCATCCGTCTCCATCCTGTAACTTGGCACAGGCACATCAGCTTGAGATGGGAACTCATTGGACAGGGTCCTGTTACATGTAAGCTCAAGATAATTTTATTAACATTTCCATATACTAAGTCTAATAATAATAATTATACATAAAGCGCAGATACTTTGCATATAATATTCGTCTATGCTACAAGAGCTCGTGATTTGATTAATATTTACAATTCTACAACATAACGTTGGGTGACAAGACGTGCTTTTGGTTTTGACTTAAAAGCACATTCGATTGTGATTTCCTAAACTCTTATGGTAAGTTATTCCACAATTTTGGGCATGCGGTAATATTAATAAATTGACAGCAGGCTCTCATTAAAAAAAATAACATCCCATATAAACTTTATCCATTTTGTATCACTCAATGAGACGGGATACCATAAACAAGGAATGCGAATGTAGTCAAGATTGTAATCATCATAAGGAAGAGAATATCATGAGGTTTGTTTGTAATATTAAAGCATGTCCTTGAGTTTGAGTCGATAATAAAAGGGAAAGCCGAAGAAAAAGTAAAATCGTATTCTACACCTTTTTCAAGCTTATTGCATGAAAAAACAGCATTTTTTTAGTTTATCACATTGGAAGGTTGCGTTTAGGAGAGCCATTACTTTGAACATCGTATTCCAGACCATAATTGATCGCAAGTTTCGCGAGAATATTGAGGCCCGATTTGATGACGTCGTGGGGTGAAGTAAGTGCAAACCCGGAAGTATCGGTCGTTGGACAGAGCTGATAGATAACTAGCTTACCGGAGTGATTGTCTCGTCGAAATTAACTCGATGAGAGCGAAATGTTAAATGCTTTATCTGTAAATCCCATGACCCATCTGGTCTGAATAACACAAAGTATGAGATATTTAATTACTTACTACTTTAATTCTCATGTAAATCTTTGTTTTTATCCTTCTGCCATCTTTACTTTCTATCTTTTTTTAGGTTATTCTTTGTTTTCATATTTCAATTACCTTCTCTTCTTATCTCTCCTCATGTATTTCTTCGTTGTTGTTATTGCATCATTTTCTCTTTATATCTTTACTTATGTTATTCTTTGTTTTTACCCTTCAAGTATCTTCTCTTTCTGTCTTTCCTTATGTATTTCTTTGTTTTCGTCCTTCTATCATCTTCTCTTTCTATATATCTTTCTATATTTCTGTGTTTTTCTCAAGTTATCTTGTGATCTTCCTTTATGTTATTCTTCAGTTTCAACTTCTTTCATCTTCTCTCCCCATCAGAATACGATTTTCAAAGTAGCCATTAACCTAAACAAGACCTTCTAAAGTGATAAACTAAACGCTTTTGTGTTTTTCATGCACTAAGCTTGAAAAGGGTGTACATTTATGTTTGTTCGGTATTGTCCTTTAACAAAATAAAATAGGGACCCAAACCTGAGAGCCTCATGACTTTCCTCTTTGATGTAATCTCAACTGTTATGTTGTTTTTATATTTTGTATGGTTTAATTTGGAACACTTCTTCACATTTTTGCTTTCTTTCATTCATTTGTAAGGTTTTATGGCACTTAACATTTGTTGTATGCAGATACTGTTGTGATCCTCTAGTTGTTAATCATTTATACGGGAAATTTCCTGCCTTCTTTAAGCGTAGCAGATTCCGAGATCACGTGTGAATTAAGACAAACCGCGCCATAGTCGATGATTTTGCATGCATCTCACAGTGGTAAAGGCAAGCTCTGGATGCTGAACATAAAATAAAATGCTCTTGAGGACTTTTAAGCAATACTGTTCTCAAGACATTCTTCAGGACAGTATTTAAAGTACCATAAATGATTATAGACATAATGATCATGGGTTTGTAAGACATTTCTCAGAATCCTTAACTGGAAATTAACTTACAGCTTTGCATGTCAATCATTATAGCAAAGAAATGAACATTACAATTAAGTACCAATATGTACCTATAAAAGGAATTAATGTTTAATAGACTGACTATTTTGTTAAGTTAAACTCATTACGTTAGGTGAATGATCAAACTTACTGGTCGAAAGGTATTCTGTTGCGATATAAAAATGTATGTAATTCCATTTGATTCCGTACTTAACTTTCAAATTTTGCAAGATAAATTTAAGGAACTTCTTCATACTAGTTCGAATCCCGAATTTTGATAACAAATTAGATAGAAGATTATCATGTTTTTCTTTGATTTTATATCATGTTCATTCTAGCATTAGTGTTTTAAAATCCTCTCATGTATCATAGTTGCTCCTGTCCCCGGAAAGATTGGCATAGAAGATGGTCGCATAGGTACTAGTAGTCTCTCTGCGTCATCTTGCTGGGATAACAATCATTGCGTAGCTCGCTCTCGACTCAATCAGCCAGAAGAGGGCGCTCTAAGAGGAGCCTGGTCAGCTTCAGTGAGTATACATGTTACATCCCACTTTCTTGTCATCCGAGATTGCAAAGCTACATGTACTCTCACTGGCTTTAATGTAGTGCGCAGACTCAATTATTGCTTTCCCATATGTTCATTCGCTTTCCTTTGTGTAAAGTTATAATAATAATAATAATAATAATACTCAGTTATTATATAGCGCTTATTAGAATCACTAAGCGCTCCCGAACTTGGATATTATTACCCCGTCTTTAGCTGTCCTGCCATCGCGGCGCTCTAGCATTTCAAAGAATTAATTCCTGCCAGGTACACATTTATTATTATTATTATTATTATTTATTTGACCAATCGGAAAACATACAATGAGTATAACAATCAGATAATACATAGATATTTCATAATACATTCAAACAATTTTAGGAAAGTGGAGAGGAGAGAGAGAGAGAGAAAGAAGGATTCAATCTGCTGGTCGGGGATGACTAATGCAATTGAAATTGCTATTACTCGAAAGCATGTCACCCCAACCTTGGTTGAGTGTGGCAAATGTAGATTAATGTCTTTCCAAAGGGCATTAGTGCCGCGGCAGGTCTCGAACCGCGGACCTTGTGATCGACAGTCCGGCGACTGAACCACTCGACCACGGCACCTCTAGTATCAAAGTATTGACTATTTTCAAGTATTGAAAATTAAACCGCTCATAGGCCTAATCATCAGGTAAGATATATCATTGGAAACTCCGAAAATATATTAATGGAACTTCTTGTGCCAATCACAAATTCATGATGATGCATTGATAGCACCATTTCTCAGCAAAGCTGCCCATTAAAACTCACCTTTGTGTCAGAGACGAAAAAAAACAGTCATGTTTCATAATTGTTTGTGATGAAAATGAAATAACCACCTCATCCATTAGATAGGATTTGTTACCTGTCATTACCTGTCATATAATGCGCCTAGTTATACTTGACCTGCTTATATTCATAAGATTAGTTGGTCCGATTGGTAGAGTCCATCCATTCACTCATTGTGATTCACTAATTTTCACAGCGGAACGATGTGAACCAGTGGATACAAGTTGACCTCAGTGCTACCTTTGAGGTCACCGGAGTCATCACACAAGGCAGGAATTACAGCTATGAAGATTGGGTCACGTCCTTTCAAATATCTTACAGCATCGATGGCCAAGACTGGACCATGGTGGAAGACTATGAGGAAGGACCAAAGGTGAGACAGTTTAAAACACCATCCAGGGCCCACAATAATGATTTAAGTTACTGTAATTTCCCCGGAGAAAAAAGAGGAAGAGAGAGGGGAGAGAGAGAGAGGAGAGAGAGAGAGAGAGAGAACAATAATGAAAGGAAGTGAGAGACAGAGTAAATAAGAGAAAGGAAGACAAACGGAGGGATACAAAGTAGAAAGTTAGAGAGGGGAAATAAGGAGCTGCAAACACGTGTACATTTATATTTTTTAGTCAACTAAGGAACAAGAATCACTGGATGAAGCAATCTGCATAAAGACATACAATACACAAACTACAAATCACAGCTATCTGGTATAGCCCTACTCTCATGTCACATTATGCAAGTTCCGCTCAAAGAATTTAATTTAGAATAATATATTACATATATATATATGGCAAGATCAACAGTACATAAGTCTCTCATCTGGAAGAGCCGAGGCCTATCTCTCAGTCTGAAGGTTCGTCTGCTTTAAGCAACTTCTTTCTCTATTGCGACTTAGGGAAGTGAGTCCTGGGCCATGACAAAGAATGACAGAACCTACAGGAGGCTGTTGCAGGTGTCATGGAAAGATAAAAAGACAAATGTGTGGGTCCTTGAAAAGATTGGAACAGACTTGATCATCAGAAGAGGAATCATGGAAAGAAAACTTAACTATTTTGGGCACATTGTTAGGAGATCTGAAGGTGTTGAGAAGCAAATACTGCAAGGAGCAGTCGAAGGAAAACGAGGTAGAGGTCGTCCACCAATATATCTTGGACTGATAATATCAAGAAAGTGTCTGGACAAGGAATGAAAGGTGCAACACAAATGGCAGGTGAAACAGTTGCACGGCGTGCTCTCGTGAAGACCACAGCAGCGCTTTACAGCGCCACCTGAAGTTGATGATAATGATATTATAAAGAGTTGGGATTGATATCAAATTACAATCTTTCAATTCAAATCGATTATTCCTACTATCAAAGTGTGAAACCCTTTGGAAAGTTGTATATTGTCAGAACGTTTATTTCGGTAACCGTACTGATTTGATTTGTACATTAATACAGATGTTTCCTGGTAATTCTGATCGAGATAGCCTAGTTGAAAATGGAATCAACCCACCTGTGACAGCTAGGTTCATCCGTCTCCATCCTGTAACTTGGCACAGGCACATCAGCTTGAGATGGGAACTCATTGGACAGGGTCCTGTTACATGTAAGCTCAAGATAATTTTATTAACATTTCCATATACTAAGTCTAATAATAATAATTATACATAAAGCGCAGATACTTTGCATATAATATTCGTCTATGCTACAAGAGCTCGTGATTTGATTAATATCTGCAATTCTACAACATAACGTTAGGTGACAAGACGTGCTTTTGGTTTTGACTTAAAAGCACATTCGATTGTGATTTCCTAAACTCTAATGGTAAGTTATTCCACAATTTTGGGCATGCGGTAATATTAATAAATTGACAGCAGGCTCTCATTAAAAAAATAACATCCCATATAAACTTTATCCATTTTGTATTACTCAATGAGACGGGATACCATGAACAAGGAATGCGAATGTAGTCAAGATTGTAATCATCATAAGGAAGAGAATATCATGAGGTTTGTTTGTAATATTAAAGCATGTCCTTGAGTTTGAGTCGATGATAAAAGGGGAAGCCGAAGAAAAAGAAAAACGGTCGTATTCTACACCTTTTTCAAGCTTATTGCATGAAAAAAAAACAGCATTATTTTTAGTTCATCACATTAGAAGGTTGCGTTTAGGAGAGCCATTACTTTGAACATCTTTGAACATCGTATTCTAGACCATAAAAAGCTTAGTGTATGAAAAAACAGCAGTGTTTAGTTTATCTTTTAAAAAGTTGCGTTTAGGAGAGCCATTACTTTGAACATCGTATTCTAGACCATAATTGATCGCAAGAATATTGAGGCCCGATTTGATGACGTCATGGGGTGAAGTAAGTGCAAACCCGGAAGTGTCGGTCGTGGGACAGAGCTGATAGATAACTAGCTCACCGGAGTTATTTTTCAGCTTCTCTCTCCAAACAGAATACGATTTTCAAAGTAGCCATTATCCTAAACACAACCTTCTAAAGTGATAAACTAAACGCTGTTGTGTTTTTCATGCACTAAGCTTGAAAAGGGTGTACATTTATGTTTGTTCGGTATTGTCCTTTAACAAAATAAGATAGGGACCCAAACCTGTGAGCCTCGTGACTTTCCTCTTTGATGTAATCTCAACTGTTAGGTTGTTTTTATATTTTGTATGGTTTAATTTGGAACACTTCTTCACATTTTTGATTTCTTTCATTCATTTTTAAGGTCTTATGGCACTTAACATTTGTTGTATGCAGATACTGTTGTGATCCTCTAGTTGTTAATCATTTATACGGGAGATTTCCTGTCTTCTTTAAGCGTAGCAGTTTCCGACATCACGTGTGAATTAAGACAAACCGCGCCATAGTCGATGATTTTGCATGCATCTCACAGTGGTAAAGGCAAGCTCTGGATGCTGAACATAAAAAGAAATGCTCAAGTCATACTGTTCTCAAGACATTCTTTAGGACAGTATTTAAAGTACCATAAATGATTATAGGCAGGAATGATCATGGGTTTGTAAGACATTTCTCAGAATCCTTAACTGGAAATTAACTTACAGCTTTGCATGTCAATCATTATAGCATAGAAATCAATTCATATTCAAGGTTTTATTTCGAAAAACATAAGAGTACAATGATGCACATGCTGCAGCTAATAAGCTGAAATGTATGTGTTTACAATGATCGAGGATACATATACAATTAAGTACCATTATGTTCCTATGAAAGAAATAAATGTTAGACTGACTATTTTGTTAAAGTTGAAATCATTATGTTAGGTGAATGATCAAACTTGCTACTTGAAAGGTATTATGTTGCGATATAAAAATGTTATAAAATTTTATTTGGTGATACGTATGAAATATACGTATCACCTTTTGATTTCGTCAAGATTTGTATTATTTATTTATTTATTAGGTGATACGTACGAAGTCTACGTATCACCTATTGATTTCGTCAAGATTTGTATTATTCACAAAAAACTATTATTATTCTTCCTCGATTTTGTTCGCAAGAAATCTCAAGAATGGATAAACCCATTGTCATGAAACTTTCAATTATGATAGATCTTAGTCTAAAATAGAACTGCGTGACTTTTCAAAGACTCAAAGTCATCGTGACGTCATCCAGGCGCCATTTTGTGAAAATCAACTTATGATCATATCTTCATAACGGAAAGTAATTTTTCATTCATTTTTATCATGATCAAGGTCAATATCCGTCCAATCAATATCAGTTTAAAAAACGCGCGCATGCGCGTGTGTCCGCGCGACAATACGCGCGCAAAATTTTAAATTGCTCCAAATCATCTCAAATTCATTTTGCATACGTTTCATGCCATTAAAAGCATTTCATAACAAATCGCGCAAACGCGCATTTTCGCGCGTTTTCGTCCGTCACAGCCGAACGCAAAATAATTACCGGTCAATTTTTTTTGACAGGATATTCCTCATATATGTCCGAACAATTTGATACCATGTTTATCTCTTTATCACTATTAATAAAGGAATGAGCGTCTGTTCAAGGCGTATGCGCGAGTTTTGTAATACATAGCATATATTGGCAAAAACGTGCCTATAAAAAGTCCATTATAGCTCTTTGGGATGCCTAGAGACTCCCCATTCTTTTTTCATATTTGGATAGAGTATGAGTAGGAGATATGATTTAATGTCTCATTTGGCCATTAAGTACATCGTGACGTCATTATAATAGCCTTGGAAGTCAAAATACGTATACGCACATTATGACGTCAGCATATTCATGGAAAATCGAATGTATCTCTGTAAATGTTGATCAATTTTCTTCCAAATGTTGATATGTTGTAGCTGAGACAATCCTCCACAAGATCATTACCAATTTGTATTCATTTTGATGACGTCATTATGGTGAAAATTGCGATTAAACGCGACATATCAGATATTTGCTTAATATGCGTGTTATGCCTATGGGAGGTAATTGATACTACATTCCAGTCTAGACTTGTTCATTATGTTGCGTATGCAGTGCGTCAAAATATCAGTTCAATGATTGATAGGCTCTGTTTTAATAGTGAATTAATAGTTTAATCATATTAAAATTATTTATCGAATACCTGAAGGGGGCGCTATACCACTTTTAATCATGGTCATCGTCATTTAAAACCAAAAAATCATCATCAATATCGTCAAGGTATTCATGAATATTATCATTAGATCATCATCGGCACACTTTCATGATACAAAAATAGCTTACGTATCACCTAATTCGTCAAAGTGACGAATTAAAGTCTAGTTGTGATTTTGTATTTATTCATACCTGAGAATTCATGTCTAGCGAAATAAAAATTAAAGTTATTTGAAAACAATTCGGATATTATAACTCCTGTGCTGTTTTGGCAATTTACACAATAAAGAGATACTACAGGCCTATATTAACAAATACAATATGGATGCGGATAGTTGTGGGTCATTCGACAAATTACAGAAAATATATTTGTAACTTTTTAGGCTTCATTGAATTTACAACGTTTGATACTATCCGTTATGAAATAAATTCTGTCTGTGGACTCTGAAGTATCAAATTCATAAATTGTTAACATTTTAGTTGAGGAAACTTCCACTTCATACAACGGCCAAACAAATTGAATTGAATCCATTTTTTATAAACTCCATTAAATTTACCAATAATGATGGCATTCCTTATACCACAAATATAAGGAATACAATTGAATTTTGTCTATATGGATCCCGATAAAACTTCCGAATGTTTAACATTTTAGCTCAAGAAACACCCACTTCACACAGTGACGAAACAAACCCAACTGAATCTCGCGGTGATGCAGTAGTGCGTCCAGTGGGTAACATGACAAGTCTCCCTGGTGTCATCTACATTCGCTGGGGCAACGATGTATGTCCTGAAGATGCAGAACTCATCTATTCAGGTTGGTATAGATGGGTAATATTAAAAAAGGAGGGAAATCTGAACATGGTTTGACATGATTGCAAGGACTTTCTTAAAATCGAACACAGGCAATTTCAATAGCCTTGTCCGTCTGTGATATTAAAATTTGCGAATACTTTGACGTATATCAAATATGGCAGGGAATGAAATATCTGCGAGTTAATTTTTCGAAAGTCTTTGCTAACTTGTTTCAATGTTAGTGTAATCTACAATTACACCAACTGGATTGTTTAAAGAAAGTTGTTTAAAAAGGAGCTGTTGTTCAGTGGGGGTTGTTTACAACAAAAGGGTTGTATAATGGGGTATAAATTGGGTTTGATACTCTGAATAAGTGCATCACTACTTCGGAGTCTCTATATAGGTATATGAAGACTAACAATATGGTAGGGTAATTCTGCAATTCATGAATTAGCGCCAAAACAGTGCCCATTTTGCATGAGCGTGCATGCACGCACGTATAAACTGCATATATATGGATGCATGCAATCTCTAAGGCAAAGAATTTAGCACACGTTATAACTGCGTGCGCAATCAGTGCCGCACTGCATGACGCGACGATTTTAAGTCTACCTATATATATTCTGAAATTTGCGTACAGATACTGAAAATTTTAACTGTGAACTTACGCTATAAGTAAAAAAAACAACAACTTCAAATTGGTTAATAGAAAAGTGATTTCAATTAAGCCATTGAATCCCCAGTCACTTAGAAGCGCGTCGGTAGCTTGGTCGGCCATGATGTGAAATAAAGCTTTTAGCCAACATGCACTTTACTGGGACGTGAAACATGACGTCATATGTAAACAACATTGTCTAAAAGCTCTCGTATAGTAAATATAGCAGTCATTAAATTTTAAACAGCGAATGTTTAACAAAATTACTTTCGTTTTGAGCAACATTGTTTACAATTTGTTCAACTGTTGTTTAAGATAGTAAGTGAACATCACTTTTTTAAGCAGCGTTTTTACTGTGTAGCGCTACACCACGACACCCCTGTACAAATTGTTTGGAAAAGTGAGGTATAAGTAATCCCATTACCAACAATGATGATTAGCCCAAGTGAAATATTCAGATGTCATCACGTGCTGAAGACGTGTCGTAGATTATGTCATTAGGCAGTAGATCATATGGTTCGAGTTTCGAGTCCCATTACCAACAATGATGATTAGCCCAAGTGAAATATTCAGATGTCATCACATGCTGAAAAGGTGTCGTAGATTATGTCATTAGGCAGTAGATCATATGGTTCGAGTTTCGAGTCCCACCCCCGTACTAATGTCCTTTGCCAAGAATATTTATCTACATTTGCAACTCTCCACCAAGGTTTAAATGGGTTGGAAATTATTCCTTGAATATTCCCAGGAGTTGCCTTCAGTGGTTGTCGTTGGTTCCATATATCATGCTCCATTTCGATTCTGATGAATTTGAACATAATAAGTGGGTTTACCTATATTTGTGTTACATTACCTTGTGAATTGTTCAGGTTCTATTGGAGGTGCACACTTCACTCAGACTGGTAGCGGCTCAAACTATCTCTGCATGCCCGACGAGCCTATCTATGACGAAGTAGAAACTTCCGAACACGCTGATCGAGCCCTACTATACTCTTCTGAATATCAAGTCAGTGGTGGTCCTTCACGCGTCCAACCAATGCATGACCATACTCCGACCTGTGCAGTATGCAGGGCGCCCTCTGGCCGCACCAGCAAACTTATGATTCCTGCCCGCAACGTATGTCCTTCTCAAGAATGGCGTTTAGAGTACGCTGGTTATCTTATGGCAGAGAGATACACACACAAGAGATCGGAATTTGTGTGTGTGGACCGAGAGATGGTTCCTAAAGCGGGTACCCTGGGGAATCAGGATGGTGTGCTGTTGTACATGACAGAAGTTCGGTGTCAGGTGGGTGATGGCTTGGATTGTGGACCCTACATCGATGGTTACGAAATTACTTGCGCCGTCTGTACTATCTAAAGTCCTACTAATACATTTTCATTGCGTATAGTTTGACACGGTTGGCAGTTTTTGTCATGCTTTTAGAACATCTTAGCTTCATACACACATCAGTGATAAAATTGTACACCTTTAGTTTAATACAAACACAAGTGATAAAGTGTAAGCCTTAGTTTCATACACACAACAGTGATACAAATTAATCGCACAAAAAAAAACTGTAAGGTAGCCGCGCTGCCCATAAACTAAGTTTTAACATGTAAACCAATGGGGGTCGCAACTTTTTCTCTGGTATCCAGAATCTTTCGGGAATAGTCGCTCATGAATGGGGATCGCAGCTAATTTTAACTAATTTTCTGGTACCCAGAATCTTGCGGGAGAATGGCTCAAATCACACCTACAATTTCGACCAATCAGATGGCTAGATTTCTAAAGAGAGGTATATAAACCCATTTATCGTTGAATATAATGGTCAATATAAGAATTTACTTTAATTGAACGGAATTGGAAAGACATTGTCTATATCATTTCAAATGTGTTGAGGTGTGCTTAATCTTTGCTAAAAGGTTTAACGGGAAATCGTTAAAGATCAATCTTATCTGGTATGGAAATTAAAAAAAAAAAAAACTATGTTTCTTAGTCATTTCATATCAGGTATTTTTCTGGTACCCGGAATCTTGCGGGAGAATGGCTCAAATCACACCTGCAATTTCGACCAATCAGATGGCTAGATTTCTAAAGAGAGGTATATAAACCCATTTATCGTTGAATGTAAAGGTCAATATAAGAATTTACTTTAATTGAACGGAATTGAGAAGACATTGTCTATATAATTTCAAATGTGTTGAGGTGTGCTTAATTTTTGCTAGAATGTTTAACGGGAAATTGTTAAAGATCAATCTTATCTGATATGGAGATTTAAAAAAAACAACTATGCTTCTTAGTCATTTCATATCAGGTCTTTCCATCTATGTGTGTTCATGCTCAAATAAATAGGAAAGAAACATCTTTAAACCTTGTTTACCTGTTTATTATTCTATAGAGTTACAACTTGGGAATGATCTCGATGGTTAATTTTACAGAGCTCACTGGCCTCTTTTAATTATAAAAAAATAAATAATAAAACAACAAAATCAAACGAAATTAAAATAAAGCAATCAAGAACGCATATTATCTATGCATAACAAAATCGCAATGACTTTCAAGCAATTAATTCGAGCGCAATCTAAATTAGTCCTGCCCTATTGTATTGCCTTCAGAAATCAAATTCAGATTACGCAATTTCACGAAATTGTATGGTATGAAGATTTCCAAAGGTGATGGACAAAGCTAATGGAAATGCCTTACAGTTTGATTAACAAGTGTACGCTTTATGAGTGCCATGTAAGATTAGAATACATTTCAGATGTGGAGGGGGGGGGGGGAATCAAGAGAAAATTGTATTGCAAAAGAAGAACAAATCGTTTGTTTGGCATTGGTCGATCAGTGAGAAATCAGACAACATCTATTCATCTAAAATAGTATCTCTCTTTCTCTCTCTGTCTCTCTCTTCTACATCTTCTACATCTTTATTTTCTCCCTCTCAATCTCTTTGTTGTCTATGTGGTACTTTCAATAACTATCTTTCAGTCTGTCTCTCCGTCACATATACTCTCCTAATTGTTTTTCCCTTTCTTTCTCCCTTCCTCCTATAATGTCTCTAGCCCTATGTAGATATGGATATGTCCATACAAAATGAACCCTATTTAACTCTCAGAATTACAAACCCTCGGTTTAACGAACTTTTGGAATGACGCAACAATGTCATGTTCAAAAGTATGAACCATCTGGTATGGAAAATTGAAGTTTGGCATTGCGAATCTTCGGAATGATGAACCTTAAGAGACACAAGTGTCTCTCGAGTTACAGACCAGGCTATAGCCCACGAGACCGACAGTGACGGTATCGTAGGTTCTCTAGAGGGTTCGCTATAGACCAACAACACTTTGGACCCTCAGTGCTCGTCTCGTAGGCTGGCGACCTAATAAACGAACCTTCATAAAACGAGCATAATGACGAGTGCCTCCCTCTATTGGTATATGTTTTTTACTTATCGATTTGTCTTTTACCTTTATCTTGTTTTATGTGAACATCACTGAACATTCATCCAAGACATACATTTATTTGAAAATAAACATCTCGGGTCAAAGTATTTTATTTCCCTCATCTATAGTTTTGGTTTATTGATATTCGACAATTTATTCTAAGAATGGAATGTGGGCGGTTGAAACTGCATAATTATCTGAAGATCACTTAGTTTTAAATCATGTTTTCACAGCTCACGTCGTTTCGCAGAGGTTTTTGTCTTGAATAAGAATAATTCTTTTGCTACTCTGAATTTTCTGACACAAATTTGTATTCCTTATCACAGAAGTGTGATATGAAACCCATTGATCGTTCAATAATTATGTCAATCAGGCGCGTACGCAGGGGGGGGGGGGGGGGGGGGGGGTTAACCAACCCCTTTAACTTTTGTATGTATGTGTTTTGGGGGAAAACACCCCCCCCCCTTTATGTGATTTATAATTTTAAAAAAAGAAGAAGAAATTGTGGTAATGGGTGACCCCAAAAAGCTGACCTAACCCCCCCCCCCCCCAACGAAACGAAATATCGACCGGCCAAATTTTCAAATTTTGGGACACCAAAAAAAAAAAAAAGAGTCCTCCAACATAGCTCACTGCGGCCTCTTTTAATTATATAAAATGATTCAATTTATCGACAAAATCAAACGCAACTTAAACTAAAGCAATCAGTAACCCCTTTATTATCTATGCATAACAAAATAGCAATGACTTTCAAGAAATAGATTCATGGGCAATCTAAGTAGTCCTGCGTTATTGTATTGTCTTCAGAATCAAATTCAGATTACGTAGTTTCATGAAATAGCAGTGTTCTCAAATATACAATGGTGATAGCCAAGGCTAATGAAAATGCCTTACAGTTTGATTAACAAGTGCCCGTTTTTTGAGTGCCATGGCAGATTATACAACATTTCAGATCGGGGGAGGGGGGGGGGGGGCGGCGTAGGGGAATCATGAACAACTTAAATTGCAAAAGAAGTAGAATTGTGTTTTGGTATTGGTCGGTCAGTGTGAAATTGGACATCATCTATTCATCTAAAATACATCTCTTTCTCTCTTTCTCTCTCTGTCTCTCTTTCTCTTTCTCTCTCTTTCTCTCTCTCTTTTCTTTCTTCTGCATCGTTATGTTCTCCCTTTCTATCTCTTTGTTGTCTACGTGGTATTGTCAATAATTATCTTTCAGTCGGTCTCTCCGTCACACACGCCCTCTTTATTGTTACCCTCTATCTCTCTCCCTTCCTCCTATAATGTCTCGAGTCCTACTGAGATATGGATATGTCCATGGAAAATGAACACTACTTAACTCTCAGAATGACAAACCTTCGGTTTAACGAACTTTTGGAATAACGCAATGATGTCTTGTTCAAAAGTATGAACCATCTGGTATGATAAAATCATGTTTGGCATTGCGAATCTTCGGAATGATGAGCCTTGGGCAAAACGAGTGGCTCCCGAGTTACAGACAGGGCTACAGCCCACGAGACCGACATTGGCGGTCTCGTGGGCTCTCTAGAGAGTTCTCTAGATCGAAAGCACTTTAGACCCTAAGTGCTGGTCTTAAGGTTTTCGCCCTCATAAACAAACCTTTGGAAAACGAGCATAATGACGATTGGCTCCCTCTATTGATACCATGCCTTTCACTTATCGGTTTGTCTTGTACCATTATTTTACCTTACAAGCAGGACCCGCGGAAATCCGCGGGATTCTAAAAGGGGGCGAGGGGTGTAAATATGAAAGAGACTCTCTAAATTAAAACCACCAAGAACTCTATTTGCCATTCATAAAAAAAACCGATCCAACTCTACCGGTAGTTATTCTTTAAGCCTCTTTCACACTGAAACTGCGTAGAGTTGCGTAGTGTGGCGTACCGACTACGCATAAATTAGGCTGCGTATTAATGGAAAATGTTGCTTCACTGTAGTCCCTGCGTAGGTTATGCGTAGGCTAGCGTACAGGTTTGCTTATGGTTGCTTACGGTTGCTTACTGTGTGGAAAGCTTTTACTGCTTTGTCGATCTGGCGTAGGGTAGCGCACTGTTGCGTAGGCATGGCGTACAGTAGCGTAGTGTTGCGTAAAAAGGCGTACTTTCTGTGTCAAGTTTCTGCGCCGAAAGTACGCGAAAAAATTTAAACATGTTGAATTGTTTGCGTCCATCTTGCGTACCCCTTTGCGTCCCTCAGCATATAGTAACGTAGGCCAGCGTAGTTAGTACGCAACACTACGCAAATCTACGTATGGACCCCACGCCAATTAGTGACCTGCCAGTGTCACAAATAAAGTATTGAAAATATGCTCATCTGACCCTAATTAAATGCCTAAAACCCCTGAGCTTTCGGGGGTTTATGGCCCCTTGAAACCCTTGGACCTCACGCCTATATACACTCAACCCGCTGCGATCTAGCTGATCCCCCCCCAACTTTGAAAAACGTTTCTTGGAGCCTGCATGTAACATGTAGGAATGGTGCATGGTGATGCATATTTTTTCTGCACCCCCCCCAACGATTTTACTTATTACGCAACTGTTTGGCAGTGCATGAAGTCACATACTTCTGTCTGGTTGATATTGAATTATTAATATGTAAATGTATACAATTCATAACCTTATGTAATGTTTTCTGGTAATTTACTGTAGATATAAGACAATATTAGTCTCCTTTGGCTGAGTAGACGTAGAGTCGTATAGTGTTATAGCTGTATAGGTGTACACAATTATGGCACTTCGGCCCGCACGCTGTTGTGTTGACGGGTTCTTCGATGGATGGATAGACGTATGTGTAGTTGTATAGTTGTACGAATATTGGCCTGCTTGGCCCCCATACTCTTCGACTAAAGCTCACTCAGTCAAAGTCCCGGCCGACAGCAGCAGCAGCACTGTGTGTACTGTACGTGTGTGGACTGAAGGCAGCTTGCGACTGAACTGTCAGTCCAATGATTTTCTTGTGAAAACTTTCCTTTAGAAAATGATAATCAAAATTCAGTAATAATGGCCGTAATGTTCGCAAAATAAGCTTTGATTTCATACCTCCATGCACGAAAGCTATATAAAAATCGTGGCAATAATGATGGAAATAGGTCTCTAAGTTTGGACGTCGATGGGAAGCCCCGTGTATCTCCCTGGCTTGTGCAGCTACTACAAAGCCTATCCTATAGCAAGATGCTTTACTCGGGTGTAATCAGGGGCGTCGCTTGACCTTTTTCAGTGGGGGGGGGGGGGGGTGTAGAGGCCAACGATTACCGAGAAAACTAGCCATATTACCGACAAAATTAAATGTCCAATATCTACAAATTCAACCCTATAAACCTGGGGCCGAAGGCTAAATTGTTTTTCCTATGGACTATCTATAGTACTTGCATATGCGCCAAATGGTCATTTTCCTCGACGACATAAATATACGAATTATTTCTTCAATTTAGTCAGCATCATAGCTATATATTTTAATACAGGCGTGGAGCTAGGACCTTATTTTAGGGAGGAGCGGTAGTGAGCAAGAGCTCATTAGGGGGTGTGGGTGATGAGCCTCCCGCGCGAAGCGCGGAAGATTAGATGTTTTCTTAAATTATTAGGAAAAGAAGACGATTAATTGTACCGTTTTCGACTGGTAATCCTTGGCTGAATGAATTCCCCCCCCCTCCCGCGCGAAGCGCGAAAGCTTTGACGTTTCATTAAATTATGAGAAAAAGCAGACAAATCGGTGTACTGTTCTCGACTCTTAATCCTTATCTGAATGAAGCTTCCCCCTCTCGCGCGAAGCGCGAAAGCTTTGACGTTTCCTTATATCATTAGAGAAAGAACACGATTCGTTGTACCGTTTTCGACTCTAAATAAGCCCTATTAGTTTTGTCTGAATTCAGTTTCCCCCTCTCGCGCGAAGCGCGGAAGCTTTGACGTTTCCT